GTGATTCGATTTGGTACCAGGTTTAGGGGGTTACGGGATAGGTTTTGGGTCCAGCACCTCTGCCTCTGCCTCGGAAATATGCGTCTGCCACACGTCCGCTAAGCGGTTGTGTGTGTGTGTAGGTATTGGCATGTGGCTACACTCTCAAAAATAATGGTGATATAGATTTACAGACAAAAGTTTGCTTTAATTTTTCAATTTTTTAGGTAATTATTAAGTTGAGAAGGCTTTAGGTAAGAATCCCCTTAATTCTTAAAAATCCTATTTTAATTGACCAATTTTGTGGGTTTAATGTGTAGCAGTGCACACATAATCCTGGTGAGTTAATGGCATGACGTTCAATGAAGTTCATGGGTGTACTGGGCGTGTTTGAAATTTGTTTTTAATCGTATTAGCGGACACTTGAAATTAGTTTGGTCCGCAGATTCAGTTTAAAGGATTACAACGTTCTAGGGTCAACACTTGACGGGGTTAACAAACCGAGAGAAACCTTGATAAAAATTAGGAAATATATGCAAAATAATTGCAATGCCTTAATATTTGTTGTTTTGTCAAAGAAAGTTGCATCCGAAATTAGGCAGGATCAAAATTAAGTCTTATTATTACTAAACAATTTAATTGAGAGGATTTAAAATCACGGTTAATAGCAGTTGTATTATTTACTTTAAGCCTGGCTGTTAAGCCCCAACTAATATACTTCTTTGACCCTGAATCCCCGCCTTCTTGACCCTTGAACTTCGCGTCCTTTTTGGCCGATGGCAATTTACCAACGGCCCTGGCCCCGAGTAAATATGTCAAGTGCAGGCGGCAAGGCCCAACAAAAAAATATTTAAAAAAATACATATTCTACATATATAGAAATCCAAAGAGTGGGTAAGGCCACAGAAATGCTTTGGCTCTTTGGTGCCTGCATTTCCGGTTGCACTCAGTGCCGAACCTGGACTCCAGGTCCAGTGTAAATTGGTCAACTAAATTATGCAGCAGTGGCAGTGGCAGTGGCAGTGGCATCGATGCAGCCGAGCTGTTAACTGCCCGACTGCATCGGCATCTGTATCATTTTGCAACCCTCTTTTTGGATTAAGCCCACTCCTTGGGTATGCAAAATCCCAGGACTCGACACCAGGAGCAACAGCTGAGTGAAATTTGCATTCTATAAAATTTTAAAGCTAAATAAAGTGTCGCCACCACGGGTCATGTGGCTGTTGCTGCTGCTGCTGCAGCTGCAAGATGATGTTCCAAGAAATGTTGCTCCTGCTGGCAGGACTCTGAATGTCATTTTTAAAAAATTATTTTACAAAATATTTGTATTTGAAAAATGTAAAAAATGTTAAGACATCTTTAAACTTGACTTAACTTTTAAGCAACTTTTTAAAGTCTAAAAGTATCTATTTGGAAAGTAATTACTTACCTTCTACATTGTCTTGTCTAATAAAATTTATTTTTTTTTAAATATAAATTTATTTGTAGATATTCACTACTACTAATAATAAAATTAATAAATATTATTATTCAAACTCAGACATTTTGATAATTGCCTTCCCCTAAGTCATATTTGGCTTATTTAAATAATAAATAAAATTAATAATACTTATATAATTGATAATATACTTTAAAAAATAAATATATTTCATATTTCCCAACCTTACTGATTCCCATTTAAATATCCATTTCTCCTTTATACATATACTTTTTGCTCCGTCCGGTATCAAGTCGGCCAGCCTCTTTTTTGGTCGCTTTGGCCATATTGATGCCAGCCAGAAACATATGTTCGCGGTCTTTATTTGGTGGTCAACTGGTTCAGTGACTCCTCCTGGAGGCCGTGGCTCCCACCCCATTAACCACCCCTCTCGACCATCGCTAGCCGGGCTATTTGTCACTTGCAACCGCGACGGCCATTTCCGTCGGCCAGTCGCCATATTTATGCTGTTGGTTGTAGTTATTTTTTTCGGTTTATATTCTGTTTTTTTTTTTAATTTTTTTTTTTTGTTTTTGCCCTTTTCAAGTTTATGCAGTTGCAAAATTGCTGACAATTGATAGGCCATGCCAGTGGACCAGGTTCCCTGACTCACCCTCCACGAGCCCCCCTCCACCCCACTGTAGTCTTGACTTGGCCCTCTCGTTCGGTGGCCACAATTTAGCGCGGAGCGACTACCGAAAACTGCAGCAGCAAATATCATTGAGCACTGAGAGAAAAATCGTTAGATATTTAATCTAAAATCTTTGTAGGGTATTATAATATATTCTTTATCAGCATCAACAGCCAAGTCGATCTAGACAAGTCCGATAGAAAAAAATATGTTACACATTTTGTCCAACATTTTATAAGGGAGTAAATAGTTTATATTGTCAAAAATTGGTTTTAATTTAAATATTAAATTAGTATGTAGATTCCTTAATATATAAAATAAATAACATAAAAAAAATAATTAATGATTTTTGAAGTGATTAATGGATTTATTAAAAGAAATGTACCTAGTTTTTCAAAATTCAAATAGTTAAAATTATCAAAAAAAATGGGAAACATTTTAGTTTAAAAAACATTTTGATTTACTTTTCCAATGTGTTCGCTTTTATTTTCCCAGTGTATTGATCAAAGCCAAGCAGATTGGCTGCAACGAACTCAGTCCCGGACTCCGTCACTTGATGAATGCACAAAATAATGGGTATGCATAATGCCAAACAGGAAATAAATTATGCTCAGGCGGAGGGAGGAGGCAGAGTAAGTATTTTTACTGCCAACAGATTTCCAGGAGCAGAAGCAGAAGCAGGTAAGGTAATCACAACAATCATCATGATTATCATTAGCAGCAGCGCCATCATCATAGCGATATATACAACTCCCCAACGACAATCGGAGAAACACTGTGCAGCAAGGTTCATAGTTTTCTTAAGAGCCAGTATTTATAAGATTGAAGATATAGCTTATAAGAAACAAGAAACAAGCAAAGATTAACTAAAAAATAAATGTTTTTTTTTACATATATTTTAATAAATATATTTACTACTTGAACAAGTTATACCTGAACCTTTGGCGGGTAATAAAATATATATTTTTAACCTCTCAGAGTCATATAGAAATAATCTTTTATATTTTAGAATTTTATTTCAGCAAATTTGAACAATATATATTAAAAAATATATTTTTATAATTGTTTATAGATTTATTTATTGATTTATTCATTTATTTCGTAATTTACTAAATAGTTAATTTATTTTTTATATTTATTTACTTATAAATTAATTCACTTGGTTTATTTAAATTTATTTTATGTTTTTTTTATTTATTATATTTATTTTATTTATTTTTTTTTTTTTTTGCCAATTCATTTTTTTTTTTTTGCGGCCAGTGTATAACACGATCATCATCGCTTTGCCGGCTGTCCATAGGCTAATTTTGTTTGATTTTGATTCTGATCGAATTAGCGTAAAATTGAGCGTTCGTCAACTTTGGGAGCGGGGTCGCGACCAGGTGCTGATCCCTCCCGCCAAGGAGCACAGTGGATGTCTGTGTCGGAACGTGGGCTCATTGACAAAGTCTAAGTTCAGATGCTCCTCAGAGCCGCGTGCGGGGCATTAAAGAGGCGTGGAAATCAAGCTCTCTGGGATGATTTGCATTTGCTGTTGTTGCTGCATGTTGCACGTTGCAGCACTTGAAAAAATTATTCCATATTTTAAAAGGGATTTGTGTGAAGAATTTCCAACTAAGAAATTATACTGGAGCTAGAAGGAAGTCTGCAAATTTACATTCTTGTAACTACCTTATTTATCTCTCATTTATAATACATTTCGTTCATTGGCTTATTGTTTTTCTAGTGTACCCTATGCCGCTCTAGGGTCGAGGTAATTGACCAAGTTATTTTGCGCTTGCTTGGCCCCAGCCCGGCCTGGCCCGGCCTGACTTGGCTTTGCTCCTTGGGGCAAATTGATTTTGCTTCGTGCCTCATCAGCAGCGACAATTGCCCTTGCGATGATCGCCGCGATGATTGGCCTTCCTGGGCTTCTTGGGCTTTTCTTCGTGCGCTCACGTAGCCTGACCCTGCCCTCGCCCTCACCTCCTCCGCCTCCATTGCAGGCCTCGTCCTGCTCCCCCTTCGGGAGCTGCCGTTGGTTGTCCCTTGGCCAGCTACCAGCTACCAGCTACCGATGTTTCTTGCGGTTTCACACTTTGGTTAAGGTTGCCTGCCCTTCGCACTCGGACTCGCACTCGCGGTCAGTCATTGGGTCACAGCCCCAAGCCCAAAAAGACGTTGTGCCGCCAAGGAGAACATGTCCAAAGGCAAAGGCTACTAGAAAGAGCTTGTTGTTTATATTTTTGAATGCTTAAAAATTAATTTCACCTAAAATTACAAATTAAAACTTATAGGGAAGAACTTTAAAGGGTGGAAACTAAGATCTAATATCGAGAAGCGTCTAAAACTGACTCTGGGCATTGTCCTCCTTGAGAGTCTTTGGGTTTAATGTGGTATTTTGGATCAAAGATTTGGATTTTATATCAAAAACTGGAGAAATATAATTTGTTGTTATAATTTCATTCTAAAGCTGATAACGCGTTGAAGGAGTCATTTCCGACCCTATAAATCTTATATATTCTTGATCAGCATAAACAGGCGAATCGTTTTAGCCATGTCAGGAGAAAAAAAATTTTGTGACATTTTTCCAAAATTTTATAATTTAAAATTGTCAAAATTAGGCATAAAATGGAATTAAAAAAAAACTTAAATTCAGTATGCAGTTTTTTTAACCTTATTAAAACTAACACAAAAATGTTTTCGGAATTGAATTTAAAGCATTTTTGGCTTAGTTATGAATTTGATAAGTTTTTGATTTTCCAAAAAACAAAAATATTCAAAAAAATTTAAACATATTTTCCAACTCCTGTCTCCACTCCCTCAGAGCGATTTTAAAGGACTTAGACACGTCCCCCACGTCCTTTGTAATCTTCAGGAACTTCTGGAAGCTCTATCCTCGCAGGAAGACCAAATAAACACAACTCCTGTATGTTTCTTCTTACAAAGCTTTGAGTTTACTTAACAATGGATGGCTGACGGCCATACAAAAAATGTTACAATTTTGTTATTGACCTAAACTATTACACAGAAAAAGCAATTATTCAAATGATTTAGATGCTTTTTACTTAATGTACTTGTCCATGAACTTCTTGTGGAAATCGGAACGCAGGGCATCGTTGACAAAGTGAGTCTTCTTTTCGGGCGCCGATCGGGCACAGTTCTTGAAGACGACATCGTCGTCCCAGCGGCGCTTGATCTTAAGGTCGCCGCCGAGTCCAGAGGCTCGACCCGCTGCCGAGGCAGCAGTGCCGGGCTCATAGTTGATCAGGGGATTGCCAGAGAGGATGTTCTCCATCCGAATCCGCTCGTCCTCCTGCTTCTTCTCGGCATCGCGGCGCGCCGTCTCCTGCAAACGTTCCTGCTTGATCTTCTGCAGTTCCGCCAGCAGGGCAGCATCATCGTCATCCGAGTCGCTGTCCGAATCGGAGCTGTCGTTGTCCAGCGGCTCATCCGCATCCAAATTGGCGGCCTGCTGTTGTTGCTGCAGCTGCTGCTGCTGGGCGGTGTCCGGCTTGGCCCGTTTGCCGCCGGCGCTGTTCGCCTCGATGGCCTTGCGCACAATGGAGGGCAGGGCCTTGCCAGAACCAGCCCCAGAACGAGCGTCACGCTCACGCTCCTCCAGCTCCTTGCGGAAGTCGCGGCCGCGGATCTCCTCGCTGGTGCCCTGGCCTGTCTCCCTGCAAGCAAAAGAGGTTTGTAGTTGAAATTGGATAGCCACTTGATGGCTACTAACCTGTATTTCAGCTTGGTGTGGCCTGGCAAGTCGCGGCTGGAGTACTGTTTGCTCAGGGCGCTCAGGTCCTTCTCGCCTCGCCCGGAGCCACCGCGGGCGGGGTCAAAGGTGGGCCGCGCGGCTGTGGTCATCTTTTATAAGTGATTTTCTTGCTTAAACAACTGAATATTTCAAAATATTGAAAGGAAAAACGCTTTTGATGCGTATTTCGATGGCTTGTGTATTTTTTTTATTACCAGCTGGCTAAAGATGGCACGGTGGCGATTGTACAGACTATCGACTATCGTCCCAGCTTTACCTCGATGGGCCGCACTGACGGAACAGCTGCTTGCCGCTGGGCAGCACTGCTGTGGTAAACAAGCGCGGACCGCCGCCGTTTCAAGCAATTATAAATCCGGATATTTAGCTATTTGTCCCGGGTACTTGCCCCACCGTTTCCCGTTGCTTTAGCCCATCCCCTATCCCCTTAGCCCCCGCCCACCTTTCGGTATGTTGGCAAACCTTCAAGGCCGCAGCGTCCACTTGTTGCGTCACAGCCTCCAAAGCGGCAGAAGGAGCTGGCGGCGAAGCTGGGCGAGCACGGCGGCCGACGGCGACAGCCTGACCATTGGAGATGTGACGGTGCCCCTGAGCAGGCCCAAGGATCCGCAGCTGGTGCCGCAGCAATATGGTGAGCGGAAATGTTCCCAAACTTGAGATCTGGCGGCAGTGCAAAGGTCAAGTTCCCAGATCATTCCAAGCTAAACCTCTGCTTCATCTTATCCGAATCTCTAGTTAAATACGCACCCGATGGCACCCTCCAGCTGACGCAGTCCGCCCTGCACCACCTGCGCTGGATGCTGCAGAAGGATGCCCTGCGGCAGGACATGTTTCTGCTGGGACAGCCAGGTCCAAGGCGCCGCCAGCTGGCCATGCAGTTCCTGGAGCTGACGCAGCGCGAGGTGGAGTACGTGGCCCTCAGCCGGGACACGACCGAGAGCGATCTGAAGCAGCGCCGCGAGATCCACAACAAGGCGGCGGTCTATCACGATCAGGGCGCCGTGCGGGCGGCGCTCAATGGCCGTGTCCTGGTCCTGGACGGCGTGGAGCATGCCGAGCGGAATGTGTTGCCCATTTTGAACAATCTTCTGGAGAACCGGGAGATGCACCTGGAGAGCGGCAAGTTTCTGATGTCACCCGAGCGGTATGACAAGCTCCTGGAGCGGCACTCACGCCAGCAGCTGGACGAGTGGGGACTGCTGCGTGTCTCCGAACAGTTCCGGGTGGTGGCCCTGGGCCTGCCCACGCACAAGTACAAGGGCACACCGCTGGATCCGCCGCTGCGCTCCCGCTTCCAGTCGCGCAACGTGACCGCCTACACCTACGGCGAGCTGTACGAAGAACTACAGCAGGAGGTGGCGCCCGGCTCTGTGCCCGGCGAGCAGCTGAAGCAGCTGCTAACCTTCGCCCTGACGCTGCAGCAAGCGGATCCAGCCCTCCAGCTGCCGGACTTTCCGCTCCACAACCTGCGCCTGGGCGTCCGGATGCTGGAGACCAATCGGGCGCTCAGCCTTTACGATGTCCTCAGCCGCATATATCCCTATCAGGCGATGCTGAAGGCCGACCAAAGGAAGCGGGTGGAGGAGCTGCTCAAGAAGCTGGATATCCCATTGATTCCCAGTCCAGGCATCAATAGAATCGCCGCTAGTAAATCGGGTGAAAACGCATCCCATATCCGGCTGCAATTAGACGACGGCCTGGAGCTGCAACTGCCGGGTGGAGGACAGCCGGTGACCTCCTCTAACTTTGTGGATTTGCCGCACCAAAGACAGGCCCTAGCCAGCCTGCTCCAGGCCTATGCCGTTGGCGATGTCTGTCTGCTGGGGGAGAAGGGCGTGGGCAAGCTGACCCTGACCAAGGAGCTGATCCGCCTGTTGCAGCAAAACTCGGAGCCGATGATGCTGTACGAGGACATGACCAGCCGGGATCTTGTCCAGCAGCGCATCACCAGTCCCGTTGGCGATACCGTTTGGCGGGATTCACCTCTGGTGCGGGCCGCCAAGTCGGGCTCCGTGGCGGTGCTGAATGGGTTGCATCGCCTCCACAAGAGCACGGCCAGTGTGCTGCAGCGGTGAGTGTCGAGGGAAATCTTTCAGACTGGGCTTGGTCCTAATCCCTTGATCTTCCCCAGCCTCATCCACGATCGAGAGCTGCAGCTGTGCGATGGCACCACCCTGCTGGGTGCCCAGCGCTACCAGGCTCTGATCCAGCAAGGTCTCTCCGAGGAGCAGCTCAGGGATCGGGGCTTCCTGCCCATGCACGAGTCCTTCCGCATTGTGGCCTTGGCGGAACCACCACGTCCCTCTGGCGGAGGCAGTCAATCCAATTGGCTGACCCCGGAGCTGCTCAGCCTATTCCTGTACCAGGAGCTGCGTCCGCTGCGCCACAGCGAAGAGCAGGCGCTGCTAACCGAACTGTGCGGTGTCGATGGTGAGTTGCCCGCGGGCCTGGAGCCGCTTCTGGGGCTAGCCCAGTTGCTGCGCTCATCGCAGGACCCGCTGCTGCAGGGAATGTCGGGAACGCTGTCAACCCGGCAACTCCTAAAGCTGGGACGCCGGCTGGCTGCCTATCCACAGCTGAGCGGGTCTAGTGACGTGAACGAAATGCTGCAGAACACATTCCTGGCCAGATTTATGCCGGCACTGTCGCGAAGTGCCCTGGAAGAGGCCATCCACCAGGTGGGCATCACCAGTCAGGGTCAGGAGAACGCACAGGTGAGGAGGAGGGGCAGCCGACAGCCGGCGGAGATAGCAGTGGAGGACAATGCCCTGAGAATCGGAGCCACGCGCTGGCCTCTAGGTAATCCCACAGAGGCCCAACTATCCAAGGTACCCAGCACCCTGTTCTACGAGATGCCGCAGCATGTGCAGCTCCTGGAGCGCCTGCTGCAGGACTATCTCATCGGAGAGCACCTGCTGCTGGTGGGCAACCAGGGCGTGGGCAAGAACAAGCTGGTGGATCGCCTCCTGGAGCTGATGCAGCGCCCCAGGGAATACATTCAGCTGCACAGGGACACCACCGTCCACAGTCTGACGCTCCAGGCGACGCTCAAGGATGGGCAGGTGTCGTACGAGGACAGTGCCCTGGTCCAGGCCGTGCGATCGGGTCACGTACTCGTCGTGGATGAGGCCGACAAGGCGCCCGTCAATGTAACCTGCATCCTGCGGACTCTGGTGGAGAGCGGCGAGATGGTGCTGGCGGATGGGCGGAGGATTGTGCCGCCCGGTGCGGGGGGGAGGGTGCCCAACTCCATCGAGACTCACCCAGATTTTCGGCTCATCGTCTTGGCCAATCGTCCCGGATTTCCCTTCCTCGGCAACGACTTCTTTGCTGCTTTGGGCGATGTCTTCAGCTGTCATGCCATCAGCAATCCGGATCCCGATTCGGAGATCTTTCTGCTGCAGCAGTATGGCCCCAATGTGCCCAAGAAGACGCTGCGCACCCTGGTGAACGCCTTCGGGGAGCTGCGAACGCTGGCCGACGAGGGAATGCTTAACTATCCGTACTCCACCCGCGAGGTGGTGAGCATTGTGAAGCATTTGGAGCGCTATCCAGAGGAGAACATGTCCGAGGTGGTGGGCAATGTCCTAGACTTTGATCGCTATCAGCCGGAGGCCCTGCAGCAGGTCAACCAGGTGCTGGCCAAGCACGGCATCGAGTCCTACGCCGAGGAGGAGATGATCCTGGCCATGCGCAGGCAAAAGACGCTCCAGGCGACCGTCAAGCGACACAGCGGCCTGGGCGTGTCGGGTCCCAAATTCGGGAAGCTGGATCCCAAAAACGAGCCCCATGTCGGTGGCAATACATGGGCGGGCGGCAGCGGCGGACGCGACACAGCCGGACTGGGCGGCAAGGGTGGACCCTTTCGGCTGGACAAGGGCCACAAGGTCCATCAGCTGAGCGACGAAGAAAAAGCGGATGTGCCCGAGGAGATCAAGAAGGCGGCCAGGGAGATGAATCGCAAGGCCTTCGAGGAGAAGCTCAAGGAGATCAAGATGTCCGCCCACGATCACCAGCTGTATGCCCAGTTCAGTGAGCCCAATCGCAAGCAGGTGCAGCAGCTGAAGGCCATCCTGGAGGCCATGCAGACCAAGAGCAAGGAGCGCCAGTGGCAAAAGTATCAGACCCACGGCGACCTGGATGACACGCGTTTGGTGGAGGGCATTACCGGCGAGAAGAATATCTACCGCAGGCGGGCAGAGGCCAATCCCTGGGCGGATCACGTCCAGGAGAAGCCCAATCGGCTCAAGCTGGTCGTGGATGTGTCGGGTTCAATGTACAGGTGAGAGTGATTCCCGCTTAAGGTGTAAGTAACCTTGTGATCTTTCCCCAATCTCCGCCAGATTCAATGGCTATGACGGCCGACTGGACCGGCAGCTGGAGGCGGTGGTGATGGTTATGGAGGCCTTCGATGGCTTCGAGAAGAAGATCGTCTACGACATTATCGGCCACAGTGGCGAGGGCTGGGAGATCCCCTTTGTGACGGCCGGCCGGCCGCCCAAGAACGACAAGGAGCGCTTCGAGGCCATCCGCATGATGCATGCCCATTCCCAATTCTGCTGGTCCGGCGATTCCACGGTCAAGGCCGCACGCGAAGCCTGCTCCACGCTGGGCGCCGAGCAGGACTACGACAATGCCATTGCGGTGGTCCTGAGCGATGCGAATCTATCCCGCTATGGCATCGCCCCCAAGGATCTGGCCATGGCCCTCAAGCGGGGCGAGCCCAAGGTCAAGGGTTATGTCATCTTCATAGGCAGTCTGGCCGAGGAGGCGGATGAGTGAGTATAACTGGGAATATGTTTATATTTATAAAAGAAGACTAACTCCTCCTTTTCTTTGGCAGAATCAATGCAGCAATGCCGGCGGGCCAGAGCTTCGTCTGCATGGACCTCACCAAGCTACCTCACATCCTGCAGCAGATATTCACCTCCTCCCTGCTGTGACCTAGTGCAATTTTGAGATCCCCGCTGGAATCAGCGGGCTTAGATCAAGTCTATCTGTTGAATTTAGTGTTGATAATTCCATTCATTTTTAGTCTTAAGCCAGAATTGAGTCTTGTTTTTTCATAGGAGTAAGAGATGTTTTATGTTTATTTGAATAGCAACTTTAGCCACAGAGCCATGAGAATTGAGTCCTGTTTTTGAAACCAATGTGTACAGTTACAAATAAACCACAAATAATATTCAAGACATAATTTTCATTTTCAAAGGTTCATAATTCAGCAAAAAATGTATGATTCAATTCAATTCGTAAAGCTGTTCTGAGTTGCCTTTTCTAAGCTTAACAAAACTGCTGTTGAGAAATAGATAGGCCATTTTCATTACTTCTTTACTTGTTCTTAATTTCTTATAATTGCACCTAGTTAATTGCGCATCACTGTATTGTTTACTTTATGAAAGCTTAAAAGCTCACACGCATAGCCGAAAATGCAGCTTTTGTCTATGTATTAGCGCATCACGCGATCTTTGCATTTTTTGTTCTTTTCTGCACGCTGTTCGCCGCTAGTTCTATTGCTTCTGTATACTTGACCGCAACCGCACGCAAATCGCTTATCAAGTTTTGTACAGTAACGCAACCGCTTACCGCCCGCAACCCGCTTACCGCCCGCAACCCGCTTATAATTTTGTAAACCCGCTAAATCATTAATAAAACTTACAAAACTAAGAAAATAAATAATACAGTCCACTCATTCACCGCCATACAAATTTTGGTCCGTTCGAGTAGCCGGATACCCGCGTTTATTTGTGAGTTTTCTTCGCGCATACAAAGAGACAAATTTTCGCCATGAATTCGATAATGCATCGGACAATTCAACAACGTGGTGCCTGTAAGGGGCAATTAACGCGCACCCTGAACAGCGCCACGGACTTTGCACAGAGATGTGATTGTGTGCAGACATTGCAACATAAACTGGAGCGTTTGGTTGCCACTTTCAACCACTTCATGGAGCTCTCCGATGACTTAGTGGAGTTCAACCTGGAGGATGGGTACGAGGACCCTGGTTTGGATATACCGGAATACGAAGAGAAGTTCTACAGTGCCCACGCTATTTTTAGTAAAGCCATAAAAGAAATGGGAGGTCAAGATTACGGCCAAGACCAGTCTAACCTTTTGATCTCAAGTACAGTGGAACGTCTATTTGAGGGACAGAATCAGCTTTTGGAACAAATCCATACCTCTTCGAGTGCAACTGATTTAAGGTTCGAGAAAATTCGGATTCCCACCTTTTCTGGTAAATATGAAGACTGGAGCCAGTTTAGTGATTTGTTTTTGAGCTCAGTGAATAACAACGAGAAGCTTTCTAAGTGCCAAAAATTCCATTACCTGAAATCTTATCTGGATGGTGAAGCTCTGTCGTTAATTAAACATATCGCCGTTTGTAACGATAATTACCAAGATGCATGGGAGAAATTGGAAAATCGTTATAATAAAAAATCGCTTATTGCTCGATCTTTTGTGCAGAATTTTCTGTCGCTGCCAACCGCTAATAATTTGAATATCGCTGAGTTACGCAAAATTGTGGATTCTGCCGACGAATGTATACGAGGCCTACACGCGCTTAATTGTGACAGCCGCGATGTATGGTTAATTCATATTCTGCTATCAAAGTTAGGTTCTGAAGTCAAGCAAGCTTGGGCCAATTGTAGTATGTCGTCCAAGGAAGACGTCACCATATATGATTTATTCACTTTTCTCTTCGCTCATTGTGATACTTTGGAGTCTTGTCAGGATTTACACGCATTGCAGCCGTCAAGACCAGCCCAGAGTAGACGCCGCCAAGTCACCTATCATGCAAGTGGATCAAATCAACCGCCCCGCGAATGTATATATTGTCAAGGACAGCACAATATATATTCATGTACTGAATTCCAAGCCTTGGATGTCGGAAGCCGCCGCACCTTTGTCAGGGATACTAAGTTATGCTTCAATTGTCTAAGTAGGTCGCATCAAGTTTCGGATTGTAATTCTTCAAATACTTGCCGTCAGTGCAACGCGAGACATCATACTCTAGTACATCCGGAGGAGTCAAGATCAATTCCTTCGGCTTCCGCCCAGATGTCTGCCGCTGAATTAAATACAACTTCTTCCTTTGATCATGCTGCTGACATGAATACTGCCGCTATCAGCCATCATACTGTGGAGAGGGCTAACAATCAAGCCCTACTGCCAACCATTCTGGCCAATGTTATTGACGCATGTGGCAACACCACCTCATGTAGGTTATTGCTCGATACTGGATCAACAATAACCATGGTATCCGAGTCCTTTATCCAAAGGATCGGAATTTCTCGCTCGCATGCTCGCATTTCGGTAGTTGGTTTAGGTGCTAGCCCGGCAGGCGTGAGCCGAGGTCGCGCTACCTTCACCCTGCTGTCAAGGACCACTACTGCATCAGTGGAGGTCACCGGTTTAATTATGAGTTCTCTGACTTCTCTGCTTCCAGCTCAGCAGGTCAAGTCCAGCTCTTCTATATGGAACAAGATTCGCCGCTTACCGCTAGCTGACCCGACGTTTGGAGCTCCGGGAAAAATCGACGTAATCTTAGGCGCTGATCAGCTGTGGAACATATACACTGGACATCGCCGAGAGTTTGGTATCGAATACCCCATCGCACTACATACTAATTTTGGTTGGGTAATTACAGGCAGTTATTCTGATTGCAACGAAGCATCTACGCAAGCCCAAGTTCACCACGCGTACGAAGACTTGGACTCCTTGGTCCGATCATTCATGGACATGGAACAAGTGCATCCGACCAAAGCGACTATTGATGCTAGTGATCCTGCAGAACAACATTTCCTTAAAACGCATGCTCGTACAGAAGATGGTGTCTACATTGTTCAGTACCCATTTAAGGAGCCCATCATGCCAATTGGATCTACGTTGCCACAAGCTTTAAATCGCTTCGCCGCATTAGAAAGGAAATTTCGAAAATTCCCCGCACTCAAACAACAATATGTTGATTTCATGGAGGATTACCTGAGAAGAGGACACATGGAATTGATACCTGCAACCGCCGCTGGTGAGGATCCAGCACGCTATAATTATTTGGCACACCACGCAGTGTTTAAGCCAGATAGCACTACCACACGTTGCCGAGTCGTATTTGATGGCTCAGGAAATGACTCCAAGGGTCATTCGCTTAACTCCCGACTGCACATAGGCCCACCTATTCAACGGGATCTGCTTGGAGTATGCCTTCGCTTCCGTCAGCATCGTTACGTCTTTTGCGCTGATATCGAGAAGATGTTTAGAGGGATCTTGGTAGCAGACGAACATACGCATTATCAACGAATAGTTTGGAGAAAGGAGGAAACCGCCACGCTGGATCATTATCGATTGCTGACAGTCACATATGGATTAGCTTCATCGCCGTTTATAGCTGTTCGAGTCCTGAAGCAGCTCGCCACCGACTATGCCGAAATGTATCCGAACGCTGCTGTCGTTCTTAATAGAGACGCTTACGTTGATGATATTCCTACTGGATGCGACAAAGTGGAGGATCTCATCGCACTCAAAGATGAGCTGATTCTGCTTCTGAGTGAAGCTCACTTCAACCTTCGAAAGTGGAGTTCAAACTGTTGCGGCTTATTAAAGTCTTTGCCAAAGGAGATTTGTGAGTATCCACCAAACGCTTTAGAAAACGACAGCCCTTTTCGATTTGTTAAAGTTCTGGGAGTATGTTGGGAACCTAAAACTGATCACATCTTCTTCAAGCTGTCACCTCCTGGAATTACAACTGCTCTTACGAAACGCATTTTGCTATCAGAGCTCGCCAAGATTTACGATCCGCTGGGTTTGCTTGCGCCCACCACTGTTTTTCTAAAGATTCTATTTCAAGATAGTTGGCTCAGCTCTGTCGAATGGAGTGAGGTATTACACCCCCATTTATGTTTCCGATGGCAACAATTTGTATCTGAAATGCATTTATTGGAAACTTGTCGAGTTCCTCGCTACATTTCAACACCAAGTCAAGCAATTGAGCTACACGGATTTGCGGATGCTTCATCTCAGGCATTTGCGGCCGTCATCTATAGTCGTTTCAAAGTCAACGCTGGATACGCAGTCAACTTGATAATGGCCAAAACTCGAGTCGCACCTATTAAGCCCATATCCATTCCTCGCCTTGAGTTAAACGCAGCACATTTGCTTTCTAAATTGATTTCTCTGGTCAAGCAATCATTAACTATTCCTATTTCCAGAATCAATTGTTGGTCAGACTCCGAAATAGTCCTGCATTGGCTATCATCTCCTCCTCGGACATGGAATACATATGTTTGCAATCGCACTGCTGAGATTTTAGACGGTTGTCCAAGAAGCTGCTGGCAACATATTCGAAGTGAAGATAATCCTGCAGATTGCGCTTCCCGAGGTATATTACCAAAGGACCTCGTCGATCATCAAATCTGGTGGAATGGACCCGCTTGGCTATCTCAGTCACGTTCAGCTTGGCCACCCGCTAAGGCTAAGTTTGCTTTGTCGACAGAAGAAGAGGCATGTCTGGAGGTAAAGGCCGAACACAAAGTTAATCTACACATTTCCGACGACGGAAATTCGCTCAACTGTATGATCAACAAAATCTCCTCATGGTCTCGCTTAATAAGGATACTCAGCTACTGCTTTCGCTTCGTCCATCGTTTTCGTGGAAGGACTCCACTCCAACCGTTCCTAGCAGCGTGGGAGCTACAATATGCACGATCCAGGATATTTGCGCACGTTCAGAAAGAGTTCTTTAGCATGGAATATACTCAGTTGAGCACCGGACAACAATTATCAAAGAAGTCCAAGTTAATCCGCTACACGCCCTTCTTAGACGAGCAAGGAATAATGCGTGTTGGTGGTCGCATAGACAATTCGCTGGCTAATTATGACGCAAAACATCCCATAATTCTGCCTAAGGAATCTCCAATCGCCGCTACACTAATTCTATATCAACACTCTGCCTTGCTACACGCTGGTGTCGAATACACCTTTCATAGTTTACGACAACGCTATTGGATTCTAGGAGCTAGAAACCTCGTCCGCAAAACTGTATTCAATTGCCGAACTTGCTTCTTGCAGCGAAGACACACGGCCTCTCAACTGATGGCAGATTTACCAGAGTTTCGAGTTCAACCTGCCCGCTGTTTTCTTCACACTGGTTTGGATTATGCTGGACCTGTATCGATCAAAATATCTACAGGTCGGACGCCAAAGTTTGGAAAGGCTTGGTTTGCTATCTTCGTTTGTCTATCTACAAAGGCAATACACATTGAGCTGGTCAGTGATCTGACAACATCTGCATTTATTGCCGCTTTTCAACGCTTTTGGTCCCGCCGTGGGCCCATCTCAGACTTGTACTCAGACAATGGCACAACTTTTCATGGAGCTAAAAAAGAGTTAGCGGAAATGCAACAGATCGCAATTTCCCAAAGTCAAAACGAAGAGATTTCGAGTTTCTTGTCGACTCACGAAGTTAATTGGCACTTCATCCCGCCCTCTGCACCCCACTTCGGAGGCATTTGGGAGACTGGTGTGCGATCTATTAAACTGCACCTGAAACGAGTTGTTGGCAGCAGCGCACTCACATTCGAGGAATATTCGACCCTGCTCATACAGATTGAAGGACTTCTGAATTCTCGTCCTTTGTGCGCACCCAGCGACCACAGCCTTAATCCGCTAACCCCTTCTCATTTTCTAACAGGTCAGCCTCTCACTTCGGTACCAGAGCCATCTCTCCTGGATGTAAACATCAACAGACTGCAGCGCTGGAGGGAACTGCAGGCCAAGGTCCAAGGGTTCTGGAAACGCTGGAATTTAGAGTATCTCAACACACTTCAAGCTCGCACGAAATGGCAACAAGACGCTCAGGACATTGCCATGGACACCCTGGTTGTGCTGAAGGAGCCAAATCAACCGCCAAGCAAGTGGTTGTTGGGACGAGTCGTAGAAGTGCATCCTGGCCAGGATCAGAGGGTCCGTGTCGTCACAGTGAAAACCGCTAGAGGAACCTACAAGCGACCTATTACGAAAATTGCTGTGCTTCCTTTGAACTGAACAGTCGTTCAGGGGGGCCGGTATGTTGAGAAATAGATAGGCCATTTTCATTACTTCTTTACTTGTTCTTAATTTCTTATAATTGCACCTAGTTAATTGCGCATCACTGTATTGTTTACTTTATGAAAGCTTAAAAGCTCACACGCATAGCCGAAAATGCAGCTTTTGTCTATGTATTAGCGCATCACGCGATCTTTGCATTTTTTGTTCTTTTCTGCACGCTGTTCGCCGCTAGTTCTATTGCTTCTGTATACTTGACCGCAACCGCACGCAAATCGCTTATCAAGTTTTGTACAGTAACGCAACCGCTTACCGCCCGCAACCCGCTTACCGCCCGCAACCCGCTTATAATTTTGTAAACCCGCTAAATCATTAATAAAACTTACAAAACTAAGAAAATAAATAATACAGTCCACTCATTCACCGCCAACTGCATACTCAGTTTTGATGAAATACTTACTTATAATTTATAAAAAAATTTAAACAAAAAATTACAGAAATCCTCATAACTCGACCAAAAATGCATGAAATTCAATTCGGAAAGATGTTCTGAGTTGCTTTTTTCCTAGCTTGCATACTACGTTTAGGATTACTCAGTTTTCCTTAAAAATGTATTTATAATTTAATTTTACATAGCTTTATTTATTATATTTACAGCGCTCCAATAGCGAAAGCGAGAGCGTGCGCAGCGATCCGCGAAGCACAATTTCATCCTAGTCATCATTGTAATTGTTTATTGATGAGCAAGGAGATGGGATGGCGGAGCTCAAGCGGATGGCAGTGATCGGATCTTGGCTCCGGGCTGGTTGAAGCCCAGCAGGCGTAAAGTATTGGAATATTTATAAATACATTTTAAATGTGTAAATGTATATGATGGAACATACAAATTTGAATCAATAAAAAAAGGGAAATCAATGTGGAATTGTGTGGTTTAAGCGGCATTTATTTGGGGGCCTTGGGATTGTTTTGGGAAAAATTTTTTGAAAGCCAACTCTAAATTTTTTTCTGATTTTTAAAAATAGTTTTTGGAATTTTTTTCTGAATTTTAAAATTTTTTTTTTAATTTTTAACATTTTTTTTCAGATTTTTTACATTTTTTAGAATTTTTTACATTTTTTTAAATATTTTAACTGCCAAATTCGAATTTGAATTTAACTGCCAAATTTGACTTTGAATTTAACGACGATCAGTTTCAGTGTGCCCAGGTGCAGTTGTAAAAACTTGAATTCAAACGGTTTGAGTCTCCGCTTACTTGCGCCGGATCCTAAATGGTTCGAAACTTGGACTTTTTATAACAGTTTATACCAGTTTTCAGTTGCTTGTTGCTGATTTCTGTTCGCCTGTTACCCCAATTTGGGAAACGGGCAATTTGCATGGAAATTTTTGGAAATTTGGATGGGCTGTCGTAGGGATGTTGTTGTAAAGGGGTTGTTGTTGCCATCAAGCTGTTGTTGTCGGCAACAAATAGGTATAAATGCATACAATGAAATATAACAGTTTAGACCAACTATTATTTTTGCCCAAAAGTTTTTATAACAGTTTATACCAGTTTTCAGTTGCTTACTGCTGGTTTCTGTTCGCCTGTTACCCCAGTTTGGGAAACGGCCAAATTGAATGGAAATTTTGGCTCACTTACATCAGTGATGCTCATCTGCGTCAGTGATGCTCTTCTGGCTATATTTCAATATAGGGGTGCAATAAAATCGGGCTTAATGGCAGTGATGATCATGTGCATCAGTGATGCTCATCTAGCTATTTTGCATTATTGGGACAAAATGGCATCTCACTAACTGCCAGTGATGCTCATCTAGCTATTTTGCAATATTTGATGTTTCTTTCATTTTCCACCGGAAGAATGCCCTTCTTTATATTGAGCTTATTAAAATTATCCCACCCAAAAAAAAAACCCGCATCCTCCTCATAACGCCAAAATAACACATTTTGTAAGGTTTATTTATTTCAGCTTTAAATAAATAAAAGAAGAAAAGGTGAAGCATGTCGGAATGTCGGAGGTCGTTCCCAGTGGTTTCGGCTCGGTCTTGGTGGCACCCTCGTCGTGCTGCCCCAGCACCTTGTCCGCTTCTGCTCCTCCTCGTCCTGATCCTCCTTGCCAACGCTCTCTGTCTCGCCATCGGCACCCGCTTTCAGTTCCTGGGAACTTGCTGCAATAAAATAAAAAAAGGGTGATCATTTTTCGGAAAAAAACGAATATTCCAAAATTTATAACTCAGCCGAAAACGCATGAAATTCAATTCGGAAAGCTGTGCCTTTTCTAAGCCTATCAAAACTGCATACTACGTTTAGGGGTCTTTTCAATTTCATTTTTTCTCAATTTTTTAGAATTTTAATGATGGTACCCCTTACATATTTTTGCAAAAATGGTGCGATTAATTTTGTGACAAAAAAAATTTTTTCAAAGGTTTATAACTCAGTCAAAAATGCCTGAAATTCAATTCGTTCTGAGTTGCCTTTTCTAAGCTTAAATACTTACCTATAATTTATAAAAAATGTTAAACCTCATAACTCGGCCAAAAATGCATGAAATTCAATTTGGAAAGCTGTTCTGAGGTGCTTTTTCTAAGCCTAACAAAACAGCATAGGGTTTCTTAATGTTTAGGGTCTGAATGAAACATTGCATATACTGTCACTGCTATATAACGGACCGGATCGGACGACTATATCTTATAGCTGTCATAGGAACGATCGGAAAATTAGTAGAAACAAATTATAACTTTGTTGTTTTTCAACGTATAATCGTCTACTCTAAAATATAAGCTTATTTTATTACTTTAGTATTTTGTTATAAATTTCATAAAAATGGGACAACTATATCATATAGCTGCCATAGAAACGATCGGTAGATGTAGAGAAAATGTAAAGGTGGCAATGTAAAACTGTAACTTGCAAACTGTTAGCATAATAAGTATAGGTAACATTTAATGAAATAATAAAAATATAATAATATTATGACTGAAATTATTATTCCAATTTTAATATATTAAAATATATGATGTATATAATTTATAATGGGTTATATATATAATTATAATTACAATTATATGCACATATATTACAGATCCCAACACACCCATTTGAAAACATACGACTCTTGGATTTTTATTTGTATTGTTTATTAATTGCCTTGCTGTTTATGCTTGCTATTTGATTACTTGTCATATAATTTACAAATTACATAAGTATTCAATACAAAAAAACCATTTATGAGCTCCGAGGAAGGCCCGCCGAGGATCGATCTCCTCCCACTGGGCCTTCTCCCCGAGTCTCCGATTACTTTTTTCCCTTATTCTCGCGGGCAGGCAGGCAGGAAGGGGGGAAGGATATAAAGGTATACAAAAGACAAACGATTCGTGGGATTTTACACTAATTAAATTTTGGTATAAAAATCTAAAACAATTCGTTTTCATCCGTTTTTTCTCATTTTTGTTTTTTTGTTACATTTTACACATTACATTTTTTTCGTTTTAATTTCATTTCTTGATGCTTTTTTCTGTATTAATATTAAATATATATTGTTGCAAATTCATGAATTAATGTGTGTTAGCAAAAAACGCTTAAATATACGTGTATATACTCTATGTATACATATATATATATATATACTCTTGATCCGTGTTATATATAAGGTGTGCGAAATGAGTGAATGGCAGCGTTCGCTCTCAAGATCCAGCGTATAAATTTGAATTTAAGATTTACAATGTAAATGGATCGTATTTGTATTTTTGGCATACCTGCAGTAATATATATTTCTTACTCTTAATAATTCCCATAAAAACCTAATGGATGACTGGATACAAAAAAAAGTGCTGCTAGAGGGTAGCTGTTCCATTACTCATGTCGCACACCTTACTGGCATATAGTCTCTATACAAGTTGTGTGTTGATTCATGGGGCTAGGATCGGACTTGGGGGACTGATCTATCTCTTACACATGTATAATTCTCTGTTGTTACAGCAAATATATTATGTATCTAGAAATTTTGCCATTTTCATTACTTTTAGTTACAAATCAGGCAAAGTTGGGGAAAGAAAAAAAAAAATTAAAAATAAAATTGGGAAAAACAAGAACATGCATTTGAATTGATCTAAAGCACACACGCACACGCACACACAATCGGGGTATAAGAGCTAGATTCAATCTTAAAAACATAACAACAAAGTTGGAGCTGATCCGGATACACCTACACTTATAGACAGGACATTGGACGACATTCAGGATTAGGGCTTTTCCTATCCCTCCCTTCTGGTATTGTGAGTTATAAAGTCGAAGGAAAAAAATAAATATTATAAAATGAAGCGTGTGCTCGCAATATATCCCTCTTCGAATCAGTTGACTTCTGGACTGGGAGGTATGTAGTTTTTTAATAATAAAAAAAAAATGTTGAGGGGATTTTATTTACAGATATTGATATCTCTCGTCACGATTTCATATTTAACATATAATCTCTGTATTCTAAGCACAAATCGGTTGCTCCTTCGCCTTCGCCTCTATATACACAAATGACAAAAAATGTTATCTGCACCTCCTTTATCTATATATACATAATATATGGCATAAATAGTTGTATAAATTTATAGACTAATGGTTAAGCACAGACACACGCAAGCACACGGCACATACACACACATACAGAGACACAGACATTACATTATTTGTATGTTTTTTTTTGTGTTTTTTTTGTTTCTTGTATATTTGCTGTCTTACAAATCTTTTGTTTTTTCTCTTTTTTGGCAATTTTCAAGTTGATTGCAAAGGGTTTCCATATATGTTGTTGTTGTTTTGTGTGTACTAGGGACGTATATCGAGAGAAAGAGCCCGTTATTATATATCAAAAAAAGTATAATAATATTTGATAAATCAAATTTATTAAATATCAAAAAAATCGCATTTAAAGTTTAAAATATCGATATTATCTCTCTCTTCTTTGCGATTATATATATTGGTCCGATATATCCCACAGAATATCGATTTAACGCACATATATCGCATTTTGCTTTCAATATCATATTGATTATAAAATAAACTTTGATAAATCAAATTTATGAAATATCGAAAAAATCGCATTTGAAGTTGAGAAAATATCGATATTATAAAAGATCGTCTCTTTTTTCACGATTATATTGGTCCGATATATCCCACAAAATATCGATTTAAAGCACATATATCGCAGCGTTAAAAGATCGATTTATGCATCGATAAATCGATATTTGTTGACATCCCTAGTGTGTACTATATAATTTATATATTATAGATATAGCGTCGGTTTGTTCGAATGTCGAGAAATGAAACGTCCAATTTGTCAATTTCTCAATTTCCTTATTTTTCTTTTTCGTTTTTTCATCATTACAATTTCCGTTCTTTATTTTGTTTTCGTTTTGTGTTACCAAATATATAAAAAGCATTCAATAATTTTGGTTCAAGAGGGGTTTTAAAAAAATATAAGAAATAAAATTAAAACATGTTAAAACAAAGAGCATAAAATATTACATAATAAAATTACTTAAAAAGGTAAAGCAACAGCACAACTGGGGGGGGGGTCTACCTATCATTATATACACATTCAACTCGCGTAAATAATTCTCTCGGCCGCAATCAATCAATCAATCATTCCTAGTCCCTAGAAGAAGGTTGAAAACTTGCGTTTGTTCTGATTCTGGTTCTGGTTCTGGTGGTGCGGATGGTGATGGTGCTGCTGCTGATGGCTAGTGTTGCCTATGCCATTGCCCATGGGCTTCAGTGGCAATACAGGAACGGAGGCATAGGCAGCCGGCTCCAGCTGCGGATTGTACAGGTGTCCCGCCGGGGCTGTTGTTGTGACCGCAGCTGCCGGTAGATTTTGACTGGCAGGCGGCATCAGGAGCACGGGCACCACCACGGGTTATACGGAGATCTCATAGTTCATGTCATAGATGCTGGCCCTATCCGGCGTACCTGAGTTCGAGCTGGAGCTGTTCTGCATTAGGACACCGCCCGTCGCCTGCTGATTGCTTGCCACTCCACCGTTCTGCTGCTGCTGCTCCAGTGATTGCATCTCCATGGAGTCGGTCATCTCCAAAGCCCGCACAAAGCTCATGGGACGCGTCGGCGTTTGTTTTCTCTTAATCTGTGGCGAGGGCTGCGTCTGAAGATTGCCAACTCCTGCATTGGGATTGGGTGGGAAGACAGCCACGCCACCGCGTAAGGCGGGTTGATATCCTCCTCCTCCTCCTCCGCCTCCTCCTCCGGTGGATGGATTACTACTGCCCGTCACGCTCGCCAAGCTGCCACTGCTGCCTGCTGTTCCAGCTCCACCGCCATAGCGCATTATGTAGCTCTGACCCGCTCCCGATACCTGCGGCATGGTGGTGGGACTCGTTGGGTTAGAGCGATGATATGAGGCTGCCGCTGCTGCTGCTGCTGCCGCCGCGGCCTGTTGTTGCTGCTGCTGCTGCTGCTGCATAGCGTAATCCTGCAAACGCGAGTGCGTCATGATCAGTGGATGGGCTCCACCGCCTGCCGTTATGTACTGGGCATGCGGCATCACCCCCGCGCCGGAGGTTCCGCTGCTCGACAGCGTGCCCGCACTACTGCCTATGCCGCTGCTGCTGACCACCTGCTGCTGCTGCTGCTGCTGTTGCTGTCCGGCGGAACTGGTAAACCCGGGCGACGTGTCCTTCCACATGTAGACACCACGCTGCGGACTACCGGCAAGCTCTCGTATGTTGTCGACCGTGTTGTTGGACCGCGCATAGGAAAGTTCTCCGCCGCCGGCCACACCAACCCCGCCGGCTCCCTGGCGTACCAGTTCGCCCTCGGAGAGAAAGCGCCGCTGCGGACTGCCGCCATAGGCGGCCTGTGCCAGAGCGGCGTGCTGGGGATGCGCTGCATGTACCGCCGCCGCCTGCTGCTGCTGTTGCTGTTGCAGAGCTAAAAGGATATATATTAAGATAATATTATTATTATCTAATATTTGGTGGATAAGAGAAGGCACTCACCCTGCTGCTGCTGATGCTGCATGAGAGCGCGCTGCTGCTGGAAGAGCAACTGCTGCTGCTGCTGCTGAATGCTGGGCGCCTGCGGATGCTGTGGCGGCAGGCCGGTTGTGTATTCGTAATAAGCAGCCGCTGCCGCTGCCACCTGTTGCTGCTGCTGCTGCTGCTGCTGGGCCACCGCCTGGGCATTGAGACCGATAAAGTCGGGACGTCTCGGCTGGGTGGGTGTGCCCGGGTTCGATCTGCAGGGTATATATCATTCGGATATTAATAATGGTTTGATTTCATGCACAGACTTAAGCATGCCGCGTCAGCAAGAGAGAGAGAGAGAGAGAGAGAGAGCAAGCACCGAAGCTGCTGCAGCGTTAACTTCTAGGTGTTAGAACTTAACAGCTTGGTTAACCCACGGTTAGACAAACGATATCGATATCGACAGATGAGCGAGCAGCAGCGAGTAGATATAATATGTGAAAATGTGAAAATTATGGCCTCAGTGCAACCAGTAAAACGAATGTTAAAACAGGGATTAGAACCGAACGCAGTTAGGAGTGAGAGACTCAGTTATCGAGTCAGTTATCGACACTAAAATAAGTTTGCAGACTGTACTATACCTTCGATTAGGTTAAGACGCACATAAACAAGAAAGGAGGGTAACTTTGACAAGCCAATGTTTGTATACCCTTTGCAATTGATTTACCAAAAAGGGTATAAAAATGTAATAACTAGTCAAAAATGCCATTGACTTTGACCCTCAGAGGCGTATTTAAATGTAAATATTTATTTTAGATGCTGATCTAAAATATATATGATTTATGGGGTCGTAAATAAGTCCTACACTGCGTTAAGGCTTCTGAAAGAAATTATAATACCCTGCAAGGAAGGGTATACAAATACTTTTTATTAATGTATGACTAAGTTTTAAATTTAATGTGTTAATTAGACATTTTTAAACTTTAATTAGATATTAAGTTCTGAATTAAAAATCGTAATTTCAAGGGGATTGATTAGATATACATAAATACACATTCATTCCCATCATTATATAATCAATTTCTATTGATATATTTGTCTTTTCCTCGTTTAACAATGGCAACTTTAATTACTGGAGCTCCCAAGGTTATCGGATAATTAATTAAACCAACATTTATGCCCCAAGTTGAATGAATTAATCTAATAATTGATTTTTATTAAATTATTGAACCCACCAACACGACAGGAGTAGCTTTTGTGGGAGATGGAAAAACGGACGCGATGGAAGGACCTTCGACTGGACGTTAACGATGCCGTCTAAAGGCACCGACACCACCGCCACCCAGGCCCGTGGTAATGGTGCCCAGGAGTCCACTGTTAGCCACCCGCTGCACAAACACAACCACTGTGCGCGGCACATCTGAGCGCACCACTTGGACCAGCATGTGCAGCATATTGACCACACAGTAGAGCAGGGCGCCGGCAATGATCAGCGGCGCCAGGACAAGCTTTGTCTGCACCGAATATCGGGACGTATCGTCCAGGTCAAAGAACTCCCATAGATTCGAGTGGCCAAGAAAGCGTCTCCGCAGGCCCACCACCTGGTTCTTCAGCCAGCTGAAGTACCAGCAAAGGAAGTAGAGGGCATGCGAGGCTATGCAGCCGAGTACCAGGCCGGCCAGCGTTATGTAGTCCATTTTGGAGGGCATTCCGCCGCCGATGGTAGTAGGGATGACCATGGCCGGCGGCGGGTCCAGGCCACTGCCATTGGCCACTTCCTGGCGAGCCGTCTTCATCAATGATTGAGCAAACATCAGGCGTTGCTTGGCGCCATAACCCCCATCGTTGGAAAGCCTTGGAGCACTCGAAGTGTTGACACCGTTTTGCAACAGCTGCTGGCTGTGGTACTGCTTTCGACCCTTGCCCAGATAATCCTCATTTCGATCCTGATGCTCCATTTCATGGTTCAACTCCTCCTTGACTTTTGTTCGGCTGGGATATTTCGGAGTTCTTAATAAACGTGACCCCGATTCTGATATGCCTGCCGTTGATGATGGGTTGATCTTGGTCTTGGCAGGTGACATCATTTGCACCTTACTGTTGCTCCTGTTCATCCCCGTCAATCGCACGCTGTTCATCCTATTGGAAGGAACCGTCTTCTTCGGATCCGAACGCCAGCCATTATCGCCGCCAGCACTCTCGTGGGTGGCCATGTCGATGATGGAACTGTTGCCGCCACCCCGCATCCTTAGTTCGCCGCTGCTGCCGCTGGCACCGCCTGACATCTTCAAGAACTGATCCTGCTGTGGCTGCTCCCGCCGCCACCGCTGCTGCTGCCGCTGCTTCTGCTTCTGCTGCTGTTGCGGAGTCAAGGGCATCAGACCGTTGGTCTCGTACTTCATCCCATTGAAGCTGAATTGGCGGCGAGTGCGCAACTGTGGTGCGGTGGCCACCGGTATGGGTAGCGTTTTCCCCAACAAATTCAGCGACTCTTGCCGGCCCGGCGGACGCAGGTTGCTGTGGCTGCTCCTTCTCTCCTGGCACTGATGCGGACGCAGCAATGTGCCCATGTCGTTTGTGGTGGAATTCGTTGTTGATCGCCTCACAAGAAATTTTGTAAATTGCTAAATTCCCTCTATATTTCCCCCAATTAATCTCCCTCTAAATCCTTGAAGCTCTCTGCAATATCATTGAATCCTCCTTGGTTTTTCGTTTCGATTTCTTTTTGGATTTGACAAAAGTCACTAAAAAGAGGGCTAAAACCGTTGATTGCCGAAAATTAAGAAATTTCTACTAAAATTTGTCTGATTTTGTTCTGTTTCCAAACGTGTCTTTTCAGAGAGCTCAACACCTTTAATTTCGCCTGATATATACGATTGAATTTTGTGTGCCTGACACATCTCGATTGTCAGTTTTGACAGCTCGGATTGGCCAGATTACTTGGATCCTCTACTAAATATTACTGTTGCTTATGTCTAGATTTTAAAGTTTAAAATTGTATAAATCAATGCTAATGTAGTTTTAGTTAATACATCGATAGCGTCTTCCCAGAGCCAACGCTAAACCTCCTGTTAACATAACAGACAGTTGGAATGAAGTTCGAAATGCAGTTATTTATGGAGACCGCACCATTATGTTCGAGAAACAACAATATATATGAGAGGATGCCGCAGAATGGAAGAATGGAAATAGTGGATAAGTCCTAAACCGCTGGTTAAATGGGCCGATATATGTATGTTTTAAGAGAGGTGAGAAAAAGTGGTTAAAGGCGGGCGCAAAACAAAAACGGCAACTGAAAAAAAAAAAATATGAACGAAAACGAAAAACGCTAAGAACGGAAGAATGAAAGCGGAACAAAAAGAAAGAAATTGAAACGAAAGAAATGAAATCAAACTCACCTCGCGCGGCGGAAAGAAAGTAGAAGAAGGTGCTTAGTAGAAGGTCTACACTGTTTCGATTCACGGTTACGCGGTTTTTGGACTCTAGAGGACTTCCAGTTCAGGTTATGTAGATTTCAGGCGGAAAGGAGCGAAGGAGCGAACAAAAGACAGGACTCCCCTAGGCATTTCGATATCATTTGATCCTTGTCGGTCTTAACTTAGTCATACAGCTATACAGTTACCTACGACATTTCATACTTAATCTTTATTTATTTCTCTCGATTAGCAGTTACTTATCACTTATTCGTAGTGCTTAGTTTTGTTTCTTGGGTTTTCATTGCTTGTTGTTGGACTTTCTGTTTGTTTTGGTCTTTCGTTTTTAGTTATATTTTAAAGCTAAGTCTAGGAATTAGTACTGTTCTCAGAATTTGAGTATTGACTAAGCAGCGACAAATAAATATATATCACGTTTAAAGAAGGAAAAAGAAAAGGTGGGAAAAATATAATAATTAATTAGTTCATAAGGTGTGTGTGTATGTGTGTATGGATACAGATAAATCATGATGGAGAAGAGGAGCTAAACCAAAATGAGAACGGGAGCTAACCAGTGCTTCTTTGGATGAAAGGAACAGGCGGCAAAGTGCAACAAAGAGAGGGAACAGGGAAGCCAGGTGGTTGACCCAGGCCATCTCTTTCGCATTCGAGGCGGACTACTAGCCTACTTGCTTCTTTCCACTAAAGTGAAGTTCAGGGCCAAGTATGATATATTGACCACAAATCCAAGGTCGTTATCATCCATCAAAAACAGAAATTCAATGATGAGCATTTAACAAGCAGGAGCAGAAAAGCACCTTACGCAGCAACACAAACAAGCCAGACTTAAGGCGTGAGGTCTTATTTAAAAACAACAAAAATGAAGCACAGGCAACAACTAAAGCTTAAACACTCTAAGAAATCCACGCAAACAGACATAGCATTGCTTTACCATCTTAGAAATATATAAAATATATCAATAACATAAAATCCGATATGATTTATATACACGTTACCTCTGGAATATCGATAAAACCAATATATCGTAAACTTTAATTTATTGAAATTTTAAATATCCCAAACAAAAATTCCATTCAATGTTAATATATAATATACATATCATTATTTGTCTGCCTTTTTATTTCAATTTATTTAAAAATCGAAATATTAAACGAAATATCGATTTAACATATATATATTGAAATATTAAACAAACTATCGATTTAACACACATCTATCGAAATATCTCTATTTGAAAATATGAATATTGAAGAGAAACTGAACAATAAATAAGCCCTAATAAAAATTAGTATTATTTTACATGACTATTAAAAAAATATATATATATGTATGAATCAAATTAAAAAAGGAAAATTAAAAAAAAAAACTGTGGCATTGTAAGCATAAATCGACTCTGGCTCAAATCAATCCCTAGAAATTTTAATAAAATAGTCTTATATATACTATAAAGTTCAGCCCCCAAAGCGATTCAAAGACAACATAATACCGCACTAAATCCGTGCTACTTGGGCCAACGCGTTCGAAGGGGTTAACAGCTACGGAAGCGAAAACATCAACATCAAGAACAAATAACAACAGAGCGGGGGGCGCAGAAGGTGGGTGGGATGCCATCATGAAAGGAGGTGGCGCATCGAAGGCGGTCAAAGCGGACACACACTCACCTTCGCACTGGACTCGCCATCACCAGGGGCGTGGCCACGCCCAGCGGCTTGATCCTTTGCTGCATGGTAGGCGTAGCCGTGGTAGCGGCGCTGCGTTGATTTTGTGCTGCCACCGCCGCCGCCGCTGCTGCCGCTGCCAGGGCCTGTTGCTGCTGCTGTTGTTGCTGCTGCTGCGAACCATTGACACCGACGACACTGTAGCCAACGGGAACAGGATGATCCGGCGAGAGGGCGTCGCTCGTATAGCCGCGCTGTGGATCCAGACCCCTGGAAGGAAATGTCAAAGATGGTATGATAATTAAAGCCGGAAATAAAAAAGTTTAAGGATATGGATATAGGGATACATAGATATATTTTGACCCTAATAAGTAGAAAAGCCACAGTCATGGACATGGTTTTTTGAAATGTTTAGAAAATAAAACATATTAAAAAGTGCTGAAGGCAAAATGTTGCTTGGAACATGCTGAGCAACAAACGAATGAAGACAAATGTTGCTAGCAACCGCAGTTGTTGTCAACATAAATGTAGAAGTATTAAAAGGTTAAGGATAATGCTGCGCAATATCCGAGTGGAAAAGTTGCTAGGAACATGCTGCGCAACATCCGAATGAAAAGGTTGCTAGGAACATGCTGCGCAACATCCGAATGAAAAGGTTGCTAGGAACATGCTGCACAACATCCATATGAAAAGGTTGCTAGGAACATGATGCGCAACATCCCATTGGAGAAGAATGTTGCTAGCAAAAGCTATATTACTTTCAAAACAAATGTAAAAGTATAAAAAGGATATATTTTTAGATTAGAGAGTATATATTTTAGTAGTTAGTTATTCTATAATAAGCTGCACTCAATGGCCATATATCCTCTCCTTTAACCAATTAATTTTTAGGTTAAATAATGCATTTGGAAAAGTCTCCCGGAAATCGTTAGGATACTCTCGTATCTTCACATTAATACCCACATTAAATATATATGATGATAATGGGGTTAATTAGCTCACCTGGGCCTCGCGTGCGGACTGTGACGCGGGTGGTATAGCCGTATGTGACGTGGGGAGTCACCTCCACCACCGCCACCGCCGGCTCCTCCGCCTGTGGAAATACTGCCATTTAGTCCGCCGGCATCGCTAACCTGCGGCAGGTAAAAGCTGGTCGAGTTGTGGCGCTGCAGCGGCGGCGTTGGTTCGCAGTCTTGGCTCTGGGAGGCGGGCGGCGGTTCTAGGTCCGTGTCGGAGCACTCACGTCCCGGCGAGAGCTGCGAAAGGTATCGGGTTATCGGAAAACGAGCAATTAGTCATCGATTGGCAGGCTCTTAAGTGGTGTAAGGATGAGATTGACACAGACTTAGACCTATATTTAGTTGCAATATAATTTCAAAAAAAAAAAAAAATAAATAAAAATAAAAAAACAAGGACGTAAGGGGAAAACAAAAGATAGAGAGAGAAAATAACAGGACTGCAGGGGAGGTTTATCGATTTCAAGGATTTATACAAAATAATCAATATGGTAATTAGGTAAAAAAATTGCAATCCAAAGATATTAGTTAAGAATTATATTTATTACGATAAAAAAAGTATATATCCTAGGGCAACATCTAGAAGATCTTGGGCAATCATTAAAATGTATTTCTCAACATTGAAATCGATCACATCCTTTGAAAGTAAGGGCCAAAAAACAGTTAAAGAACCGAAATGAGACAAAAAAACGAATGGAAAATTAACAGAAGACAGGACAAATGAAGGGGGTATGTATGTAGGTGGGGGATTAATTGAATTTATTTATTAAATTTTATTTTAATAAATCGGTTTTGTATTTTATTGAGGGATATGGGTGTGGGATGCCCCCTCAGCTAATTGTGGCTTAATGCAGACTGTGTCGTAAAGTGGAAGCACTTTCCGCAAAGTATTTAATTTTAGAATTCAGAATCAGTCAGAAAAATGAGTGTGGAAAAGAGTAAAACGGAAAGGTAAACAAAAAGTGAAAAGCACTGCAAAACAAGGTTTTTCGAAAAATAATACCAAATGTGAGAAGTGAAGAAACTGAAGTTCTTAAACATTTTTGGTGTTTGGAAACCTTGGAAATTGTATGAAAATGTATATTACTCTTGGCCGAAAAGTGCTAATGAAATTATTTCCTTTAAATTGTAATCATTCGAATTAATTAATTAATTAAGAGTGACAGAAGGTAGAAAGAGAGAATACGAGAGAAGAGGGCAAAGGGCAAAGGAGGGAGTAAAAGTATCATAATGGGACCACAAATTAAAAGGATCAATCCTTCAGGGCAAACAATCAATTCCATTCAATTATTTAAATAATAAAGGAACCATAAAATTATAAATAATTTAGGTAGATTTTTAGGATTTATTTTATTTTTCTTTTTTTTTAAGATATCTTTTACCTTTCTCGGTGCTTGCAGTAAGTGTAGAGTTTTTGCTTTTGTTTTCTTTTATCATTTTTTTTTCTTGTGGAGATGCGACCAATTCTTTTCGATATAAGTATGTATGCTATATACTTCTATATATATATATATATATTTATGTAAATATATACTGATATATAACGACAGCTCTGGGCAGATATACAAACGATATGTACGCAGCAACGGAAACGGAAACGGAAAAGAGGTTAAGGTGCCCAGCAGTTGAAAGGAAACAAGTCAACGAAATATAGCAAAAATGGCAAATATAATTCAATTTATATAGCGAAAATAATAGAGGGGAAATCTGCAACTGATAATGCCCCAAACTGCATGCAAAGTGGAGGGTTTTACTGGTTAAGTTGGTCGGAAATCCCAAAAATAAAGCATCAACTAATTAGGAAACTAAAGGAGATATTCAGTTATTAAATTTAAAAAAAGAAAAAATTCGATCCGTAACCACAAATAGTTTTTGTTAGAGCTTTAAGCAGAGGTATTAAGTTTTAATGAAATACTAGAGCTCTCGAAATATTGATACAAATATCGATAAATCGAACTTAGGATGTATACCCTGAAAATCGATATTCTGGGATATATTTCTACATATAGAAGAAGTATTAGATTTACGGAAATATTTCATAAATGCATTTAAATTGTTGTCTATTTTTCTTTCTTATATAATTTTTATAACTTGTTTTAATTTAGTTTTTAAAGACAGCTAAATTTATAAATTGGGCTAAAAAACTCAAAAATACAGAAGAAAAATTGATTTATTTGATTTCTTGTAATTCTTTCGATATAAAATCGATGTATTGAATCCAGTCAATATCGATATTTTGCTTTTCGGCATATTCTAAAAAGTATTCAAATCCTTTTCTTTTCTGTAAATATAATTTGTATAAAATTACTTGAGGTTAGGAGGAAAATAATAACTTGATAGCTGGAAAAACACATTGATTTTCTTTATAAACATATAATACATTGCTCCTATTCTAACTGTTTTGGCCCACAGAGTGTTCACTGTATTTACAGATAGCCCAAGGACAGGAAGACAGTGGTTAGGTCTTTCGAGTGTGCTTTACTTACACTAAATGTGATTGTGGCTGTGCATCATTTGGCTTACTTGTCCTTCAATTAAATGGGCGTGGCACTCACTAACTAACCAACTAACTAACTTTTCCAACACCCTTTGTGTGGGAAATCGGTAGAAGCTCGGGGAAAATAATAAAACAGCAAATGCAGCGGATAAAAAAGGAGGATATAAGAAGCCGTGGCAGCCAAAAAAGTTTTGCAGTGCAAAGGAAAAGCGGGGGGAGATATGAAGGATGTGTGTTTGTGTGTAAGAACAGCTGGGGAAAAGCGGAAAAACTTTTATTCCACAACAACGTCAACGGCAACAACAACAAGAGTAACCATAATAATAATAATAGTAATAATAAAAGGGAACAACGACGAACAACACAAAGATACTTGAGAGATTTCTCACTCCCTTCTGTTCCATTTACATATTTATATATGTAGCTGGTTCTTCTTCTTTTTTCTCTCTGTATGTCATGTGTTATATATATATACTTGGTATATGGTTTTATATTTATATCGACTTTGTTGTTAATTAGTCAAAGCATTAAGCGGAGGCTAGTTGGCGGGGTTCGGCGGGGGCAAAGGGCGAGGGGCTATTATGGGATTTACAGCAAATGATAAATCATATACGAACGAAATGAGCAAATGAAAATCGAGAAGGAGAACAACAACAACAACAAATGGTACCAAAGTATATGGGGAAAAGAGCAACATAGAGAGAGAGAGAGAGAGATACAGAGATGAAAAGGTAATCAAAAGGGAAATATTGTTTACATTGAAGCGGAAACGGGAAAATGAAGACAAAACAAAATCAAAAACAAAAACAAACAACTGTTAGCTATTACAATTACAGTTAAGTTAACACAAATTACAATTACAACAACATTAACTAAGCCAACAACGATAACAACAACAACAACAATAACATCTTCAACAAGGACAACAGGTGGCGCCAGCAATCGATCAATGGGAAATTGTTGAAAACTCCATTTTACTTAATTTCGTATTGTTTTTAATGTTTAACAAATTAAAATTATATTTTATTTATAAAGCTAAGTATTAAAGAGTTTTATTTTTATATTACCACAACTAAAAAGGTTTTAAAAGTGTCATAGAAAATGTTGTTGACTTTAAATAGTGTGCGAAAACTTTATCAGGATTTAAAACATTGCGTTGGATACTTTTGGACGAGTATTCCAACAATTCCAAAAGCATTATTAAAAAAAAAAGATCTTTTATTTTATTATAATTATTATTTTAACATTTACCTAGACACAATTTTACTTAAATAACAGATTATTAAATATTTCTTTCATCATCTTGAACTTTTAAAATATTTAATTTAAATGAATTTAGTTTTTAGTTAATAGCATTTAATTTTGTAGAGACTGACTGCTGGTTTTTTTGCCACCTGCTGCTCGCACACACTATTAGGGGTATTAGATACAATAGATATAGGATACATAGATATATGTAATAGGAATCTGAGTTTAGCAAATGCTTCGCTTTTCTCTATGATTTTTGTGTATTTTTTTATAGCAGAAATCTTGTTGTTTACCCACCTTACTGTAAAGCGTTGTGCTGCCCGACCGCTGATTATAACCATTGCCCTCGGCCATATAAGTCTTTACCTGAATTCCGCGCTTCTCGCGACTCGCGTCGTAGAAGGAGCGTGGTGAGTATTGCACCGCAGTGCCGCGCATACCGCCACCGCCGGCTCCGTTTCCGCCGCCGCCGCCACCGCCCTGTCCGCCGGGCACGGCAGCGGTACCATTACCGCCCGCTCCGCCGCCCGTTTGCTGGTTGCTCCGGTCGTTACAGATCGTGCTAATCGGCGTACTCTGCGTCTGCGACCGCCGCGAGGTGTACTTCTTCGGGTTCAGCAAGCTGCAAAGGTTAAAATAAATAATTAAAATAATAATTCATTCTTAAATTTATATATGTATATGTATATATTTCTATCCCATCAACACTCACCTGGGGTACTGCGGTCCGAATTGGGTGTAGCAGCAGTTGTGCCAGCAACCGCGCGAGAACGGATTGTAGCCGCCCTTGAACTTTCCGGTGACCTGCTCGTTGGTCGTCCGACCCCGCGACACCAGCACCATGTGAAAGCCGGTCAGGCCGAAGATGGGTATGGCCAGTATAGTCACTAGGCCCATCAGGATCATGCTATATAAGGATGGAGTTAAGCTAAACCAAGGCATTACATTTAAAATAATATTTTCCTATAAGTAAATATCCTTGGAAAATCACTTCCAAAATCGACAAGAAAAATATACATATATATATAAATAAAATATATGTAAAATATTCATTGTATTGGTTTTGCTTGTGAAAAGGATACGCGACAATGGGCGCCGTGTCCTTGATATTGGGCATTATCTTCAGCACGTAGACCAAACACAGCGAGAAAATACTCAGCATGTGAATGGAGAGTGAGACGAGGAAGAAGAAAAAGAACCTATAGTTCCGCCTGCCGATGCAGTTGTTGACCCACGGACAATGATGATCGAAGGTCTAAAAGAAAAGTCAAATGGTTTTCATTAACATCAAATAAAATCTTCTGAAGTCTAGACACTTTTCTTCCCCATTTTAGATACTTCTTGTATTTCTTTCTATATATAAACATTGCTATTTAGGGACTCACCTCTATGCAGTGATTGCAGACAGAACAGTGGGAGCAGCGTGGCGGGCGGTAGAACTTGCAGGTGACGCACCACTTCATCTTGACGGTGATGCCGTTGATCTCGGCATTCTTGTAGAGCGGGGCGCGTAGCTCCTCCTCGCAGTCTTCGTCGGGCGAGGCTAGAATGCAGTAGAGTTTAGGCCGTGACGAGGGCGCTGGTCCCTGCTCAGCACGCTACATACCTTTGGGGATGATGCCCGGGTCCATGAAGGTGGCCAGCGTGAAGTTGGCCAGCACGAAGAATGTGATAACGCCCTGGTAGGCCAGCACCCATGGATGGCTCTTCACATAGTACTGGCAGCTAAATAAAAATATAGATAAAGAATATATATCATTTAACGAATGGCAATCTAATTATTAAAAACAATCACTTTTGATAATTAAAAAAGAGAAATATTATATTTTTAATATATCGATATTGTATCGATATATATTTACATATTTTAATTATATAATTGGTTAATGCTTTTAAGGAATCAATTTGTGTACTATAATTCTGGTTTCTATTTGATATTTCGGTTCGATATATTCAGTAAAATGTTTTTATATATTTTTTTCGATAATATTAATAGCTTTATATATTTTCGGTATAATAATATATTTGATATATTTTATCGATAACATAACAGATTTTTCCTGTCGATATGCATTCCTACCTCTTATAAAATCTAGTTTTTATCATTTTAGACTTATCTTGGCTGTACTAGTTCGTCTAATGAAATTATATATTAAATATAATAAGACACAAACTATTATAATACAGCATTCCCATGTGATTAGTGCCTGCTTAGAACAGGTTTAACTATGTCACGTTGAAACACAACACAATTTACTGGCGCCAAAGTGGTTCAGAAAACTGGGTTGCCCTTAGCTCTTATGGCCATGTGAGCTCCTTACATAACCCATACGTAATAACGACTACAGGCCAGAGGCCTGATTAATTTCACAAGCCGAAGAACTGTGTGACGACAAATTTGATGGGTCCTGCAATCAGCCTTACGGGGGCATTTCATCGGCGTTCGTGCTCCATGGGTGTTGTTTGTGCTGCCTGTCTGAGAAGGCCGAAAATCGCTTGAAAATCCCTCGACCACATTGTTGACCATTAAACTAGAATGGGGGGGGTAAAGGGCTGGCCGACCAGCAAGAATTCAACGATCCAAGGATTCCTCCAGGAGGCCAGAAGCTAGCCAGCCCGCCCGTTGTGTCGCCGCAATCACTTTAGAGTCTGCTGAACCGGAACTGTTTTGTTGGTTGAAACCAGGCCCTTTCCTACACTCCAACTTTTGCCAACTCCTCATACATATAGCTAGATATATATATGTATAGGTAGAGTATGTGTGGCTATGGCCAGGGCCATCTCACCACAACTAGACCCGCATTGGAATCAAAACGAACTGAAACCGACCAGCGCCCTCGTCACGGCCTAAACGGAATGCTAGCCGAACCTTTAACCCTTGCGACTCTCCTACACAATCTGGAATATTTAATTTAATAAGTAACCTAGGTATTTAAGCCATTAAATATTTATAGAGATGGCTTTCGTTATGTAACATAGATGTATTCATTTATATATATATATATATAAGATATATCTACTCATTTGCTTTTCATCGCAATAGATGGTTAAAATATCCCTCTTTTTTATAAAACTTTTTCACAACTTCCCCTTTAAAGAGTTCACTTCTTATAGCCTGATTTATTATGCATATTCGACAGTGGAACATCATGGGTTAAGGTAACCACAACAGACCAAGACTCTTGTTGTTGTTGTTGCTGCAGGCAACATGGAGAGCAGCGAACGATATACACGTGTCCTTTAGCCCATTTCCATTTCCGTCTGTCTTCGAGCTTTGGTTTTCCCTCCGCTTTTCCTTTTTCCCCTCCGTTAAGCCCGTGTGATGCATTTGCAATGATGTGCGGAACTTTCTACTGGTTTCGGTTTACGGTCGGGCTTCTGTGTTTACGGGTTACTTAAGGTGAATGTATTACTTTCTTCCGGCATTTCTCACTGCATTACGGTGTCCTCTCTTTGCCTGTCTCTGAGGGCAAACCGCAGTTGCATTCTAATGGATAAACTCATCCCTAATGCAGCCATCACCATCATTATCCTCATCATCCTCATTTTCAAGCTCATCATCAATCTGCACGTCGTTTTCTTTTTCAACAAAAAGAAAATCTCCTCATTGCCCTCATCGCTACAGTGGTCACTTGACCAAGGTTCTTGGGGTTTGTTCTTCTTTACTTGAAAAAATTAATAATAATAATTTTTTTTTTATATATCTGTGGATATTACAAACTCGTTAAAATATGTTCAGGATTCTGTATAGAAAGAAACCCAAATTTAAACAAAAACATCTCTTAACAAGGTAAAATAAAAGTGTTCTGTTATTAATAATGAACTATACATTTAATTGAAAATACATAATAAATTTTACCTTAAAAAATTCAAGCTCTTTTCAAAACAAACAAAAAAAGAAACCTCCTAAAGAAGTAAGACAAAAGTGACGATTGCACCTTCTAGTCCCAAAAATGTGTGATATTATATAATGAATAAAATATATATAATAAATATATTTCTATATATAATATTTATAATTTATATTATGTTAACCAAAATTAAATTACATTTGAATTGTTAACTACTTTCTCATTAATTATCATGCAGACATTTTTCCAACTAGTGCCGATGACAATTACAATTTTTGAAATCATCTGAATTTTTCCCAGATAATTTTTAGTTCACGTTTATATAGCAATGGCCTAGCGCACACTCTAGGTACCTATCGTTACTACGCGGACGGCTGTCCGCAGTGTTTAGATTCTAAGAAAGTTCCCCATTTGCACTGTACTGCTGTAGTGCCATAATTTAAAATTCCATCCAGCCCTTCACAGAATTTTAATTGGCAGAATGACCTCTGACTGTCAGTTTTTCCTTTCCATTTTTCTATACATTCTCCATTTATTTTAGCTGCCTGTTATTTTCTCACTCTCGGTCTCTGGACAATTGCCTGCAGCCGAAGCTTTTCCGAGTAGCAGAAAAGCGGAAAAGCAGCAGCAGGCAACAGCACAGATTTCCAATGCTCGCTCATGGCGATTGCACACAAATGTTCACACCTCTGCTGGCCGTAAATGTATCTATGTATCTCTGCCGCTATCCGTATCCGTATCCGTATCTTTATCTGCAACAGAGTCTCAGGATGTTGGTTTTGCCTCTGGTTTTGATTTATTTTGCAGCTTTCTTCTTATCGCATTTTTCCCCAACTCTCACACAGTTGCAACAAAATAAAATTCCATCTCTAGTCTGTCCTCCTATCTCCCATCGCCTCCACTGGCATTTGCATAGAATTTTCAGAATGCAAATAAAACTCAAATGAAACGACTTTCAGCACGTGCCGGGGATTTATGTTAATCGTTTCGAGACAAAGCAGAAGGGAGCATACGGAGCAGAGGTGGAAAGGGCTTACAGAAAGAAAAGTGCAGAGAAAAAAGGGAAAAACCTCAAGAATCTAACGAGAGCTGAGCTTCGGCGGTCGGAGTAATTAATTAAACTGACATTTATTATGAACTGCCCAGCCACACCTAATTAAACGCTGCCTCGCTTAATGCAGTTTCTCGAGTTTCAACCTCACACCCAACTCCCCAGACTTGGATAGATACATTATCCAAGAGCTAGATACTATGCACACACAGTTTGTGCTGCAGTAACAAGAACTTGATACAGGTTTTTGGGTGATTTCAAAAGAAAACTCATAATACCCAAACGCATCTCATATCGCCCAGACGTTTATGACTTTAAATTAAACAAAGAAACAAATGAAATATTTAATTACAGCCGCCACCAACAGGTTCATCGCGTAAACATTTAGCCATGTCTAAACAGAACTTGGATTGCACGAAACAACAAACACACCAAATAATAATAATAATAACAGTTGGTCAATGCTAATGATCGGACAGCGAATATTTTGCAAATGTGCAGGAATCTGAATTCTATCGACTCGCATCGAATATCACATTGAAGAGTCACCTCCATCACGACACCAAGACCAAGCGGGCAACGTGGTTGCCATACTTAAAATATAGTAATAGATGGATTAAAATATATACAAGTATTCATATAGAAGTACTGATGGAGCTCCAGGAATGGAATCTCGGGGGTCATATCTGAGGGCGATCTCTAATCTCTGGGCTGACGCTCGATTGCAAGTCAGGTGTGCGGGGACACATACATGTATATACATACATATATATAATACATGTACTTGTTTGCTTTACTTTTCAATTTAGCAAAAATGTTGCCGAGTCCTGGGAGGGAAATCGGTTTACATTTATGCAAAGTCAGGCGGAAAGTGGGCGGCACAGCGAGATGGAGGAGAAAGAGTTGGCCCAGAAATGGGAAAAATACAAAATAAATAATAATAAGGAGGACAAAGTGACGGGCGACAGGCTCGGCTCGGCTGGCTCTGTTTGCCTCAAGGATTTGCGCGCCGCTTTCTTACGACAAATAATTCATTCCACTCTCTGAAATTGTGACTTAGTGGGTGGGAAATCGGAAACTAAGAAACTGCGGATCTGGGGCGAAGTAGCAAATCAAATTAGAGACTGACAGGACCGCAACAAGGACAATAAACACTCGCATATATGTAGCGTTAAGTCACTGAAGCCTAAAGCCACCCAACCACACTTCCCTACATCCCACACCACCCACATCCCACACTCAGGATGTGGTTGACTTCAATTAGGGTTTGGCGCCATCAAATTGAAACAAATTGCCAGAGAAAACAAATGAACAGCGCTTTGCATTGATTGAAATATAATTTCAGAGAAAATCGATTTTCTATTCAATTTCTTTGAATCAAAGCTATCATTTATAGCTAATGTCATGGGTAAATATGTGGCGGTAATAAATAACCAAATTGAAGGTTATCCCATTAAAAAATATGTACTAGACTTCTCAGGTGTTTTTAGTATAATAAGCTTGGTTTGCCCCCCTGTATCTTACTCCCTGGTTTATTCCCTTAAATCGATCCATTCTGGCGTCAATTTCAATTTAAGTTTCAGCAGAGTTTAAATATTTTATTTACTGCTGCACGGTAATGTCAGTTTCCTGTCACCCCTGCCCCTCCGCTCTCAGCGATTTTGCATCAATGTGGCATTGTCAAGGTGAAGGAAACTCTGTGGGTGACCTGCTACCCGCTACCCACAGCCACCCACTGCCTTTCCACCGGCAGAAGTTCACCCGCTGCGCTGTGTTAGGGACCAAAAACGCCAACAACTTTGGCGTGCAGCCTTTTTCCAAGAGCATTTCCGGAAAAGCGAGAGGGTTTGATGATACACTGGCAGGAAATTGAATTCCTATGTTTCCACCAAGAAGGAGAGCCTGAACGTATTAGGAGCCCTCTGGCAAGATGTCACATTCAGGCGAAATGCGACAAGTTTATGGAACTTGCTCCCCTCATTCCTTTCTTTTCTCCTTCACCTTGACATGAAGATGGAAAGTCAAATGTGGGAAAGGGTGGAAAAGAGGGACTAAAAAGTAGGGAAAGGCGGCACACACACACGTGAGAGAGGTCAACTGAAAACCAACCGCAAAAGCGATTTCGATCGGCAATTAATTGACTTGACACATTGACACCTGCACACAGGTACAAGCACATGCAGATGTCAGATTATTTATAAATATGTATATTTTATAAAATGAATTAAAATTATATTCACGGAGCCCCTTAATATAAATAATTGCTGAGCTAGACATAAGCCATAACGTAACGCACCGACCTCTATAATGTTTTTTATGGCCAAAACTAGGCGAGGCAACCCACTCGCCTCTATGGTTAAAAAAAAAATAAAAAGCGGAAAAAGCGAAGATAATTTCGCATTTGATGGCAGCTGCATTAATTAAAGACTCGGAAAAATGGCAGTGCTTTTATGCGTCAAGCTAGAACAGAAAGCCAACCGATTTCGTACTGTTACTGTGCTACAAGAATGGGGTTTAAATAGTTATTACTTCAATATAAATGCAAGCTTTATAATTCAGCACAGTGGACTTTGCCCTGTTCTTGTATCGACAGCTAGAGGATTCCTGGAACTCCATAATCAGTGGAGCTGCCACCGGCAGTATATTGTCAGCCCGCAATGGCATTCGGGGCCATGGCCAACAGTGCCATTGTGGGTCTCCTCGTTTTGGTCCTGATTGAGGGAGCTGGCGCGTTAGTGGCTCGCATACGCAGACGAAGGAGGTGCCACCGCAACCGTAACCATCGATGTCCAGACAAAACCGCAGCCTGCCCAATGGGAGCCAGCCGATTTCGTGGCAATGGATCCGAGTTCGAGTCGGAAACTGAGTCCGGACTTCGGAGGTGTCAGTTGCCTTGGCAGGTCAGGGTTCGAAAGGGTGTTGGAAAGGTGCCGTGAATACAGAGACACAAAGGCTGGAGAGGGACTGCTAACTGATGGACCTAATCAAGCTGGCCGAGATTATCTGATAATACCCAGAGCTGTTTTTTTATATGTGAGTTTTCGTCTGCTGATAGAGCGGTATGGCAAGTCATTTTGTTAAAACCAATGTATATTTTTAGACTGTCTCATAAAAGACCATATAATATTTTAGAAACTAGTTTTAACTATATTTTTAAGGATTCTGTTTTTTTTTTTTAATAATATTCTTTGGCCTAGCAACTTTAATTTAACTTAAAGCTTATATTTTCACCCCAATAAAAATTAGTTATTGTTCATAAAAGCCCTCATATCTGTTCCTCAATTTTTGTAGATTAGTGTTTTTTTATGGTTTTTTTTTTTTTTTTTTTTTTTGCGACTATGACGAAAAGCTAGAGAATCGTTGCTGTCGTCACATTAGTCCCTCTATGCCTCGCACACCACACACACACACACACACACACAGGGTATAAAAATATCCTACTATCGCAAAAAACAAAAACCAACAAAAAAAAAAAAAAAAAAGAGAGAAATAGAAATATAGTGGCCAGAGCTGGGGGCAGCATTAGTCATCAGCAGTCGCGTACAAAAAAGACTCGGCAAAAAAAAAAAAAAAAAAAAAAAAAAAAAATGAGGAGGAAAAAGGAAAGAAATTCGAAATGTACAAAATATGTGCTTCGACCATGGGCAGCCGTCGCCTCGACTTTGCCTCTGACTTATCTATGGGGGCTCTTTTCCCTTCCCCTTCCCCCTCCCTCGTTTAGTCTCTTTTTTACTAGACATGTACATATGTGCCTGTCTCATCCGCATACTAGCAACACTCGGGAACAAAATAATATAATTTACAGAGTTTACAGCTAGACAAATGTCAGCCCCTTTGTGGGATATATACTATCATTATGCATCATAATAAATAATATATAATTTTATAATATATTATCAGCTGCTAGGATGAGCTGTTATTATTTACACAGAAATCTTCCTTATAAGTTAGATATTTTTTTAAACAGGCTTTTATTACACATAAAATACACAAAAGAATATTAATAATTTGGATATGTTGTAACATATTATTAACCATACAAAAACTATATTTTACTGGCTTTTGGCTATAATTTCAAGAATTCCAAAAAACACAAAATTTAGCTTATAAAACACTTTTCAACTTTATTATATGAAATTAAATTTTATAAACTCTATTTTTAATTATTTACCTATAAATACATGAAATAAAATTTTATAAAATGAATTTTTATGTTGCACTTATTTATATACAAAATTAAACTTTATTACATTTATTTTTCCATCCTTTTAAGTAGACCCAAGCCCTTTGATGCTATTATCTTAAGCTCCACTGCAGTTGGCCTCCAAAAGGCGTTCTCCCATGCGACCCGATAATAGGTGCCAACCGATAAGCAGGCGTTAGTGGGTTAAAAGGGGTGCTTGCTGGCGGGGGAGAGGGCAGCTGACAGAGGCATCATTATGAGGTGCCATGGTTCGTTATTTAATTTTCGTTTTTGCCACACATCCGAGGCAGGGTAAAGTGCGAAGAAGGTTAAACGGCATGGGCTTTTATCAGTCTTTTTTCTTGTCTCCTCGTCTCTTTTGCTCTAACTCTCTCTCTCTCCCCCTCTCTCTTGGCTGGTTTCTATTTTCCGCAAAATTAGCGATAAACGAATCAATTGCCCTTTAACTGGGAAATCGACCGGCGATAACACGGTTTTCAATGCCGGCTGATACCTTCGGTGCTTATTCATTTCAAGACAATTGTTATAAAAAATATTTTCAGGTGTATCGCCACTCTTTTTTCAGTCGTTTATGACTTTAAATTAAACAAAGAAACAAATGAAATATTTAATTACAGCCGCCACCAACAGGTTCATCGCGTAAACATTTAGCCTTGTCTAAACAGAACTTGGATTGCACGAAACAACAGACACACCAAATAATAATAATAATAACAGCATCGAATATCAAATTGAAGAGTCACCTCCATCACGACACCAAGACCAAGCGGGCAACGTGGTAATAGATGGATTAAAATATATACAAGTATTCATATAGAAGTACTGATGGAGCTCCAGGAATGGAAACTCGGGGGTCACATCTGAGGGCGATCTCTAATCTCTGGGCTGACGCTCGATTGCAAGTCAGGTGTGCGGGGAAATAATCCAGTCACATACATGTATGTGTATATAATATGTATATAATACATGTACTTGTTTGCTTTACTTTTCAATTTAGCAAAAATGTTTGCCGAGTCCTGGGAGGGAAATCGGTTTACATTTATGCAAAGTCAGGCGGAAAGTGGGCGGCACAGCGAGAGGGAGGAGAAAGAGTTGGCCCAGAAATGGGAAAAATACAAAATAAATAATAATAAGGAGGACAAAGTGACGGGCGACAGGCTCGGCTCGGCTGGCTCTGTTTGCCTCAAGGATTTGCGCGCCGCTTTCTTACGACAAATAATTCATTCCGCTCTCTGAAATTGTGACTCAGTGGGTGGGAAATCGGAAACTAAGAAACTGCGGATCTGGGGCGAACTAGCAAATCAAATTAGAGACTGACAGGACCGCAACAAGGACAATAAACACTCGCATATATGTAGCGTTAAGTCACTGAAGCCTAAAGCCACCCAACCACACTTCCCTACTTCCCACACCACCCACATCCCACACTCAGGATGTGGTTGACTTCAATTAGGGTTTGGCGCCATCAAATTGAAACAAATTGCCAGAGAAAACAAATGAACAGCGCTTTGCATTGATTGAAATATAACTTCAGAGAAAATCGATTTTCTATTCAATTTCTTTGAATCAAAGCTATCATTTATAGCTAATGTCATGGGTAAATATGTGGCGGTAATAAATAACCAAATTGAAGGTTATCCCATTAAAAAATATGTACTAGACTTCTCAGGTGTTTTTAGTATAATAAGCTTGGTTTGCCCCCCTGTATCTTACTCCCTGGTTTATTCCCTTAAATCGATCCATTCTGGCGTCAATTTCAATTTAAGTTCCAGCAGAGTTTAAATATTTTATTTACTGCTGCACGGTGATGTCAGTTTCCTGTCACCCCTGCCCCTCCGCTCTCAGCGATTTTGCATCAATGTGGCATTGTCAAGGTGAAGGAAACTCTGTGGGTGACCTGCTACCCGCTACCCACAGCCACCCACTGCCTTCCCACCGGCAGAAGTTCACCCGCTGCGCTGTGTTAGGGACCAAAAATGCCAACAACTTTGGCGAGCAGCCTTTTTCCAAGAGCATTTCCGGAAAAGCGAGAGGGTTTGATGATACACTGGCAGGAAATTGAATTCCTATGTTTCCACCAAGAAGGAGAGCCTGAACGTATTAGGAGCCCTCTGGCAAGATGTCACATTCAGGCGAAATGCGACAAGTTTATGGAACTTGCCCCCTCATTCCTTTCTTTTCCCCTTCACCTTGACATGAAGATGGAAAGTCAAATGTGGGAAAGGGTGGAAAAGAGGGACTAAAAAGTAGGGAAAAGCGGCAAAAACTCACACACACAAACCGCAAAAACGATTTCGATCGGCAATTAATTGTCTTGACACATTGACACCTGCACATAGGTACAGACGGACCAGGACAGTGCGTTTCATGAGTAACAGTATAATATAAACATTAACTTATTTTAAAGAAACAGCTAAATAATTACGGATAGGTATTTTGTTACATGTTACACACCCAACCCTTGATATTCCAGTCGAATCGATCGAACTAGATCGTCACAAACTGGGAAATAATTTTCACAACACACTCTCTTTCACACGTACCCAGAAATTGGGAAACAATACATAAATGGAGTACAACCGACAGCCGTGTCCCATCCGGATTGTGGAGGACTGTGGCTGCGCCTTCTTGATGGGCACCCTAGGCGGAGGGCTATTTCAGTACCTCAAGGGCTTCCGTAATGCTCCATCTGGCCTGGTGCGCAGCATCTACGGTGGCATTGACTCCGTGAAGATGAGGACACCGGCTGTGGCCGGCAGCTTCGCCATTTGGGGCGCTACCTTTAGCACAGTGGACTGTGCCCTGATCTCGTATCGGCAGCGCGAAGATTCCTGGAACTCCATAATCAGCGGAGCTGCTACCGGCGGTATATTGTCAGCCCGCAATGGTATTCGGGCCATGGCAAACAGTGCTTTTGTGGGCTGTCTCGTGCTGGCCATGATTGAGGGGGCAGGGGCGGTAGTGGCCACTATTTACGCAGACGACGGGAGTGAAACCGCAACCATAACCATCGATATCCAGACACCGCCACAGAGGGCCCAATGGGAGCCAAACGATTTCGTGGCCATGGATTCGATTCCGAATCCGAAACCGAGTCCAAAAGAGTCAGTTTCCCTGGCAGGTCATCACTCAACCGTTGAGGGTTTCGAACGGGTGTTGGAAAAGTGCAGAGAATACAGAGATGCAAGACCAGGCGAGCCACGGGCTCTGCTGGACCTAATCAAGCTGGCCGATATTATCTGACCACCTGCATCCCCAGATCTGTGTGCTTTCTGTGTTAAATCAATCTTTGTTTTCCCCAAATATATTCATGTAAATCGGCGTCCAGTACTTCCCAATGTTTTTTTCCGTTCTTGTCTTGGTGACAATTTCAAGTAATTTTGATCTGAATGTTTAGAGTGAATGAAAGTCAATGGGTTTAACTATTTGGCCTCCAAAGGCGGGTTTCCCCAACCGATAAGGGGGCCTTAGAGGGTTAAAAGGGGTGCTTGCTGGCGGGGGAGATGGCAGCTGACAGAGGCATCATTATGAGGTGCCATGGTTCGTAATTTAATTTTAGTTTTTTCCCTTATTCGAGGCAGGGAAAAGTGCGAATACAATTAAACGGCATGGGCTTTTATCAGTCTTTTTTCTTGTCTCTTTTTCGCAAACTGTATCTCTCTCTGGCTGGCTGGTTTCCATTTTCCGCAAAAATTAGCAATAAACGAATCAATTGCCATTTTACTGGGAAAACGGCCATTTGTCTGCTAGCGATAACACGCTTTTCAAGCTGCGTATTCATTTCAAGATAATTGTTACAACAGTATTTGCAGGTGTATCTTAGCTGGGTTTCTTAAGCTTTTGGGCCTCATTTATTGGACTCTGTCTTGAAATAAATATAGATTTAGGCCTGTTTACATCTGTTTTATGAATAAAGCAGCTTGGTCAACAAAGGAAATATATATATATTTTTTATTATTTGAATAGTTTGTAGGTGCATTATTGGAAACTGACGCAGTCACATGCAAACACATCAAAACAGTTTCCTAATTTGTAACTTTTTAATTGCGAATTTCTACCGAAACTTGTTACAATAGAAAAAGCATTACACAAAAAATATATATATAATTTTCTGGGATTAACTTAATTTCTGACATAAAATTTATTACTTTTGTTCAATAATTAAAAATATAAATTACTCTGAATGTCAAATATTATTTTCTTATTTGTAATTTAGAGTGTTTTAATTTTACTTTAATTCTACAAAATTCTACAAAATTCTCTCTTGTTTTAGGCAAACGCACATCATTTATCCACAGGTAAAAATAAAATTGTGCCAGTTCTTGGCTGTCAGTTTTTCCGATTGCTTTTTTTAGAAGCTTTCTGGCTGTGCTATACGCAATTATTGGGCAATCTTCAAGGGGAGTGGGCTAGGTGGGAAATGAGGAAACCCCGCCTCCAAAAACACATACACACTGGCAAACGAAATGTAATAACAAGTTGGAGGCAAGCCCAAGTTTTCTGCCCCTAGAAAAAAAAAAAATAATAAAAAGAAAATCTGGTGGAAAAGGTTTTTCCGAGCAGCTGAGGCCCTAGTGGTTGAGTAAGCTGGGCCAAAGCTGGATAATCAGGCAAAGTGAAGGAGTCTAGCGGCCTCCATCTCCCCTCTTTTTTTTTAATAGCTGTCTATGGCAAGTCCTTCAATGTGTCATGCGCCCTGTCAAAAAAAATGTATGTAACTAAGCGACAAAAAAAAAAAAAACGAAACCAAAAAACAACAGAAAAACTGAATCTTTTGGCCAAAAAATATTATTGAGCAAAGGCAGAGTATGCAAGGTCAAGCAACTTTTGGATTTTGACCCCACACATAAATCAACAAGAAATTACCCAAACATTTTGTGTGTGTATTAGGGCATATATCATTTTGGCATGGGGTTTTGAACTATCATTAGAAAATGTTCTCCATCTTGAGGCTGCCAGCTAACCCCATTTTTTTCCCCCCCCTTTTTTTTGCTGTTTTTTCCAGACCATTTTTTCCACTTTTGTTTATTTTTTCAAATATTTTTGTGCGTGTGCGTTACAAAATCAACTTTTAATTTAGACACACGGGAATTTTGAAATCTTTAATCTGTTCTTTTTTAGCATTTTTCTGGGGTTGGCAAATTGGGAAACTAAATTAATTAATTAAACTAAATAAAAAAATAAATTAAAGACTTAAACTTATTGGCTTGTAATAAAAGCCACATTTTCTTGAGTCATTTTTCAACTAATTTTTTCACTTAAATAATATTAATATTAATTTCAAATTTAAAAATTATGCAAACTCTTAGCAAAAAGCTATCACAATCGATTTCATTCATTCATAAAAACAAAAAATCAAATGAGATTCACGTGGATGAAATTAAATATTCCGCTTATATAAGCGAATTCCAGCAAAACTCTTCCCACCAAGTCAACATTTTTTTCTTTAATGGCAAATTGACTTCTTATTCTGTTGTTGATTCAACTTCCACTCTGCTTTTTTTGCTCATTTTGTGTGTGTGTATTTATGACGGTCCGGCGAATGAAATTAAATTTGGGTAGATGGCCTCTAGGGCGTATGCGTAATATGTTTGAGTGCACGTCTGTCAGTATATACATATGTATATTGCGTTTGTTTCCCCAACTAAAAATATACTTATATTTTGCCTTTTTCTCTCGACATTTCCCCTGATTTCCAAGTTGACATCCCCCGTGCTTCCTTTTCATTGAAAAGTTTCTTAAACTTTGCGTGAAACTCTTCACTTTATTTGCCTAATTAGAAATTTTAATTAATATTTTTTGAGAAATAATGTCGTCGTCTCTCACAGAAAAAGGGTGAATGGAAATGAAGTAAATAGATAATGAGGGGTGAGGAGAATGAGAATCGGTGAGGAATAGGCGGCATTCAACAGGAAGTGATTCCATGGAAAACAATACCGAAAAATACATATATATATATATTTATATATGCCGTCAACATGATTGCCACTTAATCCACTCAATAAACAGTCAAGTGATAAAAAATGAACGCTCTTTTTTCGACTCAACCTGTCCCATTTGCACCCCCTGCTACAGCTGCTGTTCGGTTTGCCTGGCCATGAGAAAAATAAATCGAACTTAATGGGAAATATATATACACACAGAGTTCACGGAGAGTGCCCGCTGACGAACATCAGAATAAATCATGGCGAAAAGCAGCGAAAGAGGCGGCCAACGATGCAAGCGGGGTGCGCTGGAAGGTGGCAAGCAGTTAAAACGGTTAACGTCATTGACATTGGACAACAAAGGGTTAAGAGCAAGCATAATTGCAAATGAGTAATCGTTAAGAACCCCCAAGTACAGGGCACGTTCCAAAGAGCGACAGCAAATCAAGAATAATGTGAGTGTGAGTAGTATATTTATGCAATAATTCTCTATATTATTTAGTGACTTCTTTTGCGATAAAAGAAATACTTATATAGAAACCAATATGTTTTTGTATACGCTTAAGTCATATCAATTGTATTTATTTAATATCGGTTTCTGGTAAGGAGAGCGCCCTGCCACTGTGAGTGCCCAAGTGGTTTTCCAGGGTGAATGTATAGGTAGGTGCCAGCCAGTTGGCAATTGAATTTTATCGATTTACCCGATGAAGAAAATTCCAGCAAACGGGGCAGAAAGAGGGATAGAAAGAGGTGAACAGATAGAGATATGATGCACCTATTTGTCTCGAGTTGTTTAAATTTCATTGAAAGAACGCCAGTTGTAATGGATATGATGTATCGAAAACATCGTAAACTTTGATTTATCGAAACTTTATATATCGATAAATATCGCATTTAACTTTAAAAGTACAATATTATTGTAACCCTTTAAAGTGAAGTTCATAAAATGTTCATATTTAAATGAACCTATTTTTTCATCCATTTCTGGATACATTTCTAATTTTCTCCTAGTGCAGGGTTAATACTTTTGCCGTCTAGGTTGGTATATGGTTTATAGCCAACAACAGCAAAAACTAGTGGTATAAAGAGCAACAACAGCGAATATTTCAAGCAATATTCAAATGGCACCCCTTAAAAATACACTGAAACTATCTTAAATAATATTCTTTTTTAGTACTTCGAGCCGTGTTGTATTAAAGGTGTGTTTTAATTTTTATGACAGCCATAAAGAGACCCATTCAATTTAATAGGAATAATTTAATTTCCGTATATAATAATATTTATTTTAATGGCTAAAAACTGTATCTGGAAATTCTTCAGTGTGGCCATAGTCTGCAGGCAGCACAAAAAGGCAGAAAACAGGAAATAGGAATGGTAATGTGGGTGGCTTAAAGAGGCGTGGCAATGGCCCGGCTCACCTCGTCTCCTCCTCTTGTTCCTTTTCTAGCTCAGCAGCTTCTCCTTCTTGTTCTTCTTCAACGCCTTTTTATTCCGCCGCCTGCTTTTGGCATTTGTTTTTTGCTTAGTTTTGCTTTTTTCTTTATATTATTTTTGTTGCCACGGCTGGGCGGGCGGTCTGATGTTTTTTATTCTTTTTTGTTTGTTGTTGTTTTTTGCACATTGCTTTTTATGGCAATGGCCGGCGGATATTATCAACGGGCGGCTGCAGCAACAACTGCACATGCTTTTGTTATTATTGTTATTATTATTATTTATCAGGGCGACGACGGCGTCAGAAATTTATTTTCATTAACAAGTTGGGACAGACAAACGAAAAATATAAAAAAAAAAGAAAAGAAGAGATAATAAAAAAAACAAGTAACTAGAGCCACAGGCAGAGCGATTTGAAAGAGTACTAAAAACGAAAATAAATCCAGTCATGTGTGAGAAATATTTCCAGGAACTCACTTTGAGTAGCCTCGACTTTTATTTGTCATTATTTTTCATCAAATTCCAGTGGCTATTACTCGAGCATGTTATGGTTTGGGTTCCATTAAAAAAAAATAAATAAATCATGGTCTCTATATATTTCTAATCCTTGTTTAATATTTTAATGCAAAGCCATGGAATACATAGTACATAGTACATAGTATTTATTTATCTCCCACTTAAAGTCCCTTAAATGTAAAACAAGATATCAAACTAAATAATTTCTTAAAAACAATTAAGCCTTAAGAATTCCTTATTCCTTTACTCTCATAACCCCAGGGATATATTGGTATAATTATATTTTTAAATAATTCAAACATTCCTGGTATGAAATTATCCAATTTCCAACTTAAGTGCAACTGACTGCTAACTGCATTAAGTTCTGACAGATTATATGTCAAAGGTACACACACATTATCCCTCAAAGTGATTATAAAAACATGAACATGCTGCGTAAATGGAATGGGTATACATATG